CCCCAAGTCCAAAGACAGAGATCGGGGTTCACGTGGACACCTCCATCCAACCCGTATCTAGCTAGCCCGGCACCTGGCGGGTCACAGGCACTTCCTGTTTGCTACGCGGACTCAAACATTTCCCACATCCGGTCAATTTCCCCCATGTTCACATCCGGTCAGGGGCAAAGCCAGGCCTCTGGTTCAAATCTGGCTAACCTAGACAGGCCTACAGCGAACGCTGTACCACCCGCTACGACCCCCTGAGCCAGCCACTGCTCAGGAGGTACTGGGATGCCAGGTGGGTAAGGCTGGCTCCACCCCACAGCAACAGGGTACGGGCACCGGGGTACCGGGTGCATCCCCTGGTGGACCCAAGAGTGTGGAAGGGCACTGCGGAACTTCAGGCTAGAGCAGATGCCGCACCGACTCATTCAGCCTCAAGACCCCCTTTCAGGAAAAATAGAATTACTCAGCACAGCTCACCTCAGAAATTTACTTTTATTAAATGAATAAACAGAAAACCCCCATCCCCAATTGCACCCTGGTTACTCATGCCCCCAATCCACCAACTGTTCCAGCAGATAGCCCCCACCTGTGACCCGGGGGTGTGCTATCAAAGAAAAAATTTAGTAATGACTAGAGAAATAGTGTGAAAAGTCAGAAGGGCAGCCGGCTTGGAAATTAAGGGCGGAGGCTCCCCCAGGCAACGTTACAGGAAGGAGGGCTGATGGAGTCTCCAGAGATGGGCGAAAAATCTCATGGCACAAGGGGTCACTCAGAGGGCTGAGGCTGCAGGGACTGTTTTAAGGTCCTGGACAAAGTCAGCTTGAGTCTCAGAGGTGCCAGACTCGGTGGCCCCAGCACCGCACAGCAAGACTTGGGGAATGCTGCCCCCTTGTGGTCACACATTATCTGCCACAGGCGAAAATAGCCAAGACATGGCTTGATTTGGGGGTTTGTTCTTCATGGGGGGAAGGGGGGGGTCCGCCGGTGGGTGCGGATTTCCTGAGCACCTACAAACGGACTGGTTGCGGGTCAAATATTCCCTCCATCTAACCCTGCCGAGACTGTTTCTCTCTTTTCAGTGCTCCCACCCAAACGAGGCTGAGAGGGCAGAGCCGGTTTGTCCCTTCGTCTCCGCAGCTCCAGGACCTGGCCCAGGGCCCAGCCACTAATCCCTGGGTGTGGATGCCCCTAAAGACATGAGCGCCCCTGCTTCTCACCCCAGACCCAGCCCCTTCCCGGGCACCTGCGGGGGCCCTCGAGACCTCGAGGTGACTGTTCCCAGGGGAGCTGGTGGCTCTTGGCCAGTTAGAGCTGGAGAAACAGAGGAGGCCCTGCCAGGACTTTTTTTCCTTTTTCTTCTTTTTGGGTCACACCCGGCGATGCTCAGGGGTCACTCAGGAACTACTCCTGGCGGTGCTCAGGGGACCATGTGGGATGCTGGGGATCGAACTCGAGTTGGCTTCGTGCAAGGCAAACACCCTCCCTGGTGTACCATCCAGTTTCACTGCCAGCACTTCTGAGCTCAACATGCAAAATGGGGTCTGTGGCAAGCCTGAGGCTCTTTCATTGGTGGTGGGGGGGTTGGGGGGGCACGCGTGAGACCCTAGGCAGTGGTTTTCTTGGGCTATCCCTGGGTCTCTGCTCAGGAGTGACCCCTGGTGGTGCTGGGGGATCACATGAGGTGCTGGGGATTTGAGGTGGGCCAAGGCAAAGCCAGTGCCTGAGCTGGCTCCAGCTCATCTGTCCGTCCGGTTACGGGGCTATACTAGGAGGCATTCGGGGAAACCACGCTGTGTCGGGGACCAAGCCCAGGCTTCCGGCAGACAATGCATGTGCACTGGTCCTTGGGGCCAGCCCCCTGGCGAAGACTCTGGTTTCTAACTCTGGTATCAGTGCCCTCCTTGGAGCTAATGCTGCGCCGAACCACACTCGAAACAGGCAGAACATTCTGGAACTGGGGCTGCCAAGCCACGAGGTGGGTTCCAGCTGGCCTAGGGCTCAGCTTTTTTCTACCCTTAGCTGCAATGTTAAGGCAACACCCTCCCTCCAACCCCCGCCCGCCCCCCCCCAAGCCAAGTGTGCTCTAAATTCAAGTGTCCAGTGGGGCAGGATACAGTCAAGGACAAGAGATTGTCCGCGGGCTGCCTTCAGGCCAAGAAGACAGAGTCCACAAAGGAGTGGGCAGCAGCTGAAGTTCCGGGGCAGAGCTGGCAAGAATGTGAATGGGGGTCGGGCAGGGGGGAGGCGGGAGAGATAGGACAGAGGGGAGGGTGTTTGCCTTGCCTGTGGTCAACATGGGTTCCATCCCCAGTGTCCCATATGCCCCCCCACCAAGTGCACCACCAGGAGTAATTCCTGAGTGCAGAGCCAGGAGCAACTCTGAGCATCGCTGGGTGTGACACAAAAGGCCAAAAAAAAAAAAAAAAGGCCAAAAAAAAATGGGAATGGGAAGAAGAAGCAGGTTCTACGTGAGGTTTGAGGTTTGACCTTCTATCTCTGATGGCACAGATCAAGGCAGAACCGCGGATGCCGCCACCTGCGCCAGCAAGGAAGGGCCAGGGAGAAGCCAGCAGGAAGCGAGGCCGTGAGGCTCCGGGCAGAGCAGAGCCTTCCCGCTGGGGGCAGGCGACATGGTCATGGCCCAGAGAGCAGTCTGGGGGCTGACCCTCGGTGCCTCGGCCCAGCAATGCACTCCATGTTTCCAGGGCGCCTCGGTCTAAATGTCAAGGCTGAGAATGTGACCACAGCTGGCTCAGAGCCCTCAGGCTCCCTTTCGGCAGTGGCCGGCGTTTCTGCACTGGGTGAGAGGTTCTCCTGTCTCACATCGAGCGCTCACTTGCACTTGCAAAGAACAAGATGTGTTCAACAGACTACGGCAGGATGCCTGGGAAGCCAAACCCTTCTCGGTGAGGCCAGGGGTGGGGGTGAGGGACAAACCAAAAGGCGAAGGAGGACGTGGGCTGAAGAGCAGCATTTCTGCTTGGAAAAGACCTCCCAGGGGCCCAGAGTGATAGTACAGTGGGGAGGGCGCTTGCCTCGCACGCTGCTGACCCAGGTTCCAACCCGGCACCCCACGTGGTCCCCCAAACATGCCAGGAATGATCCCTGAGCTCAGAGCCAGGAGTAAGCCCTGAGTATTGCCAGCTGTGGCCCCCAAACAAGAAAGGGCCACCCAGGCCTAGTCGTCTCCGCCCCCCCACCTGCGGCAAAGCTCATCTTGGGTCCAGCTACCCAAAGACATCCCCAGACTCATGTGGCCCTTTACAGAAAAAAAAGAAAAAAGAAAAAGAAAAATCACTCAGCACCAGAAGCCCCCAGAAACTACCTTAAGTAAACAAACAGAAAGTACAATCCTCAATAGGTCTAATGTTCCCACCCCCCCACGTCCCATCACCCACTTTGGGAAACATGATGAAGAAAACCACTCCATGAAGAGAGACTTCAGCATCTCAGTGCATTAAGAACTAGTTGCAGGGCTGGAGTGATAGCACAGCGGGTAGGGCGTTTGCCTTGCACGCAGCCGACCCGAGTTTGATTCCCAGCATCCCATATGATCCCCAGAACACCACCAGGAGTAATTCCTGAGTGCATGCGCCAGGAGGAACCTCTGTGCATTGCCGGGTGTGACCCCTCCCCCCCTCAAAAAAAAAAAAGAACTAGTTGCAATTCAAATCAAATCTTAGCCTTGGATCCCAAATTCCTGCCCTTCAAGTCCCCACCCCTCATCACAGACAGGGCTTGTGAGTAGAAATGGGGACGCAGAGAGACAGTACGAGAGTTAAGGCATGTGCCTCACATGGTGCCATCCCCGGTACAATCCCTGGCACTGCAAATGGTCTTCCTGGAATACCCTCAAGAACGATCCCCGAGGGTCAAGCCAGGAGTAAAGCGCCACCACCAGGTGTGCCCCAACCCCTCCACCCCAAACATCCCCCAAATCAAAACAAACAAAAACCAAACCAGAAGCTGCTGCCTTTAGCTGGGAAAAGCTCTCTGTACCCCACACGCGCACGGCCACGGTGGCAGCCAGCAGCACGTCCTCTCTCTGTGGGAAGGGCTCGGTCTATCTGAACCTTCCCAAACTACAGTTTTCTGGGGTCTGGGAGGTGGCTCAGGGGCAGACACTCAGCTTGCTTATGTGAGGTCCTGGGTTCGAACCCCAGCACCGCCCCCAACAAAACCAACCAGCACAGCCTCCGTTTCCCCACTTGTAAAGCGACATTCTGCAGGTGAAAAGGGATGATGGCGGCTCTTAGAATGGACATGAGCACAGTTGTGAGGGTGGGGACACATGATAGTCATAAAATTCAGCCAGCCCTTGAGTCGCACTCCCTTGAAATACTACCTGGAGAGGCTGGAGCGATAGTCCAGAGGGTAGGGCATTTGCCTTGCACATGGCTGACCCGAGTTCAATCCCCGGCATCCCATATGGTCCCCCACGCACCGCCAGGAGTAATTCCTGAGTGCAGAGCCAGGAGTAACCCCTGAGCATTGCTGGGTCACTGTCACTGTCCTTCCCATTGTTCATTGATTTGCTCGAGCGGACCCAGTAACATTGTGAGACTTGTTGTTACTGTGTTTGGCATATCGAATACGTCATGGGTAGCTTGCCAGGCTTTGCCATGCGGGCAAGACTCTCTCGGTAGCTTGCCGGGCTCTCCGAGAGGGATGGAAGAATCGAAGGTGGAAGAACTGAACTCGGGTCGGCTGTGTTCAAGGCAAATGCTGTGCTATCGCTCCAGCCCAAGCATTGCTGGGTGTGACCCAAAAAGCAAATAACAAAAAATCAAAAAAAAACTGAAATACTACCTGGAACGGGGTTTCTCTGAGGCTCCTTTATGGGGCATGGGTCGGGGTTGCTCTAACCAGCATCCCTGGCCAGTCTCCTGCTGGGACCAGCAGCACCCCATACTCTGACGAGCAGAAGCAGCTTCTGAGATTCCCCCTAGCCAAGGCCCTGCAGGAGACTCTGCACATGGGCTCCCCAGAGCCCCCGGCCCCGCGGTACTCACCGGTCAGCGGACGTGGGGGAAACAGGTGGTAGGTGCTATAGATGTCGTTGGAGAATTCCAGCTGCAGCTCCGGACTGCCCGTCAGGACTTGTGTCACCTGCTCCACCTGGAACGGCGTCTTCTCCAGGATCACGATGGCGTCTTCGCCGTCCCCGTCCCCAGAGGCCTCATTCACCTGGGACAGAGATACCATCTTGTCTGTCTGTCTGTCTGTCTGTGGGCCACGGCATGTGCACTGAAGCCTGTAGGGCAGAGATGCCAGCCCAGGCCTCGGGAACCCAGCACGTGGCTTTCCCTACCCGCAGGCTCACCAATGGCACCCAGGTTTTTTTCCTCCCGGGCCAGACATCTCCTGAACCCCAATTATCACCTGCCCACCCCCGAGAGGACGCGGAGCGCCCCAGGCCACCTTTACGGTGGATTCACAAGGCCTGTGCCCGGTGTCCTCGGACAGAGCAAAAGTAAGAGACTGAGCAGTCCCCTAAGGTCCGGTGTACAGTCAGTGTTGGAACAGGAACAAAAAGCCGCTTATCCCCACAAACTCCCAGCTCCAAGTCTATGGGGGCTCAAATCTTCAGCTGGGGTTTGTGGCCGCCGGGCCGAGGGACCAGGCAGAACCTTGTGAAGAAGACCGGCCTGGAGGCATAAGCCCAGGTCCTCCGAAGTGAGAGAGTTCCAGAGAGAGCTGCAGCTCCCAGGCTGGTCACTGGGTCTCCTCTCACTCATGACACAGCCCACAGGGAAAGGAGTGGACCAGTGAGATGAGGAAGGCTGGCCCCGGGGAGGAAGATTCCTGCTAATGAATCCAGGCTATGTATAAGCCCGGGGTATACAGAGGAGAATTTTGCTCTGCGCCAGCCCCTCTCTAGGAAACACCATGCACATCTAAAACCCCAAATGCAAACGTGCTCCCCTATCCCTCTAGGAGGAGAAAAAAAAAAAAAGAATAAAAAATAAGAACAAAGAAACAGAAAGTTTCCACCTTTCCCAAGCATCCACTTTCCTTTTTGTTAAACTGTCTACTGAATCCGGCCATCCCGTCTCCAGTCCTGGCTGCCTGAGAACAAGCACTGAGTACGCTACGGAACAAACACGACCAGCCGAGCTAGGAAGAGGGCCGGCTCAGAAGACCCCACTGCTCCTAATGGATGGGCCCGGCTCGTGGCACTGCATCACCAACTTCACACGCGCCCACTCTCCCAGGCTGAACTCGAGTCGCGTCCGGCCGGGATCGTCCCTCGGCCGGTTCATCCAGGGGCATGGATGGGAATGACTGTGCTCCCAGCACCTCCCCGGGCTGAATGAATGGGGGAGCGCGCTCTGCAGCCGCCAGCTGTCATTGCTAGCTAACCCAGGAGGCGGAGAAGAGCCAAGTGGGCCCTGCACGCCCAGGGCGCTGATTGGCTCCCGGCTGGCCCGCCCCAGCTCGCTGATTGGCTCTCGACTGGCCCGCCCCCGAGGGCGCTGATTGGCTCCCGGCTGGCCCGCCCCAGCTCGCTGATTGGCTCTCGACTGGCCCGCCCCCGAGGGCACTGATTGGCTCCCGCTTGGCCCGCCCCCTAGGGCGCTGATTGGCTCCCGCGCCTGCGCCGGAGCCGCGCTCGGTACCTTCCCGTGCAGGAAGATGATCTTGTCCCGCGCCGACTCTCTCAGCACTTTTTTTAACCGGAAGCCAGAAAAAGGTAAGCGAACGGGACCGGAGGTGCCATTCCCCACGCTTCCTTCCTTTTCCTCCCGGGCGGGCTCTTCCGTCTCCTCGGCGTCGGCTTCGCGCTTCCGCTTGCAGGGCTGCGGCTGTACGTCCGCCATGCTGCTCGGCAGGGAGTGTGCGCACGCGCAGACTCACGCCGACGCCCCGCCTCGGCCACGGGGCTGGACTACAACTCCCGGCGTGCTCCGCGGCGGAGTCCGCCCGCCTCTGCAGTGGCTGAATGATTAAACCACCTTGTTTGAATGGATAACTTAATCGGAATTATTCCGACGTTGATCCGGTGGTGCAGAAGAAATGTTTCTGAAATAAATCACTTTAAACACACACACACAAATAAATAAATCATTTAACTTAACTTTTATTTCTAGGTCTTATTGAAGACATAAGTTAGCAGTTTGCTTGTATTAGATCAAAAATAAGTAAGTTGCAGTTTTACCAATAGTGTGTGTGTGTGTGTGTGTGTGTGTGTGTGTGTGTGTGTGAAGCTTAGGGGCTGATCCGGGTTTGATTACTCCTCTGTCCCATGTATGGATCCCCCCACCAAGCACCATCAGCAGTGATCTCTAAGCACAGTAAACTCTGAGCACCGTTCAGTGTGACCCAAAAACAAAATAAAAAATAGATACGTCCACGTAACTTTAAAATACCTTATGGCAGCAACAGAAAATACAAAGTCTAAAGGAATTAATAATAAAAGAAGTGACTGACCAATAGGGGAATGAGTTCTAAAGCTTTACTCAAATACATTCAATGATATAAATAAATGGAGGCACTTTTTGGGGGGTAGGGGCACACCCAGCTTTGTGCTTGGGAATCAGCCCAGCACATGGGGCCATGAGACGCCTGGAATCAAATGGGTTGGCCACATTCAAGGAAAGCACCTGAACCCCTGGACCATCAGTCCAGTCCAGATACCAGTTTTTACACTTAATATCAGAGACACATTTATCCTTCCCAAAAGAATCTGTAAGTCCCATCTAATTAACAGAGATTTTCCTGGAACCTTGCAAACTGGATAAATAATTGTAGAACTAGTAGAGACAGGACAGCACTTAAGGCACTTGCCCTGTACACGACTGCCCTGGCATCCCATATGGCTCTCTGAACACAGAGCCAGGAGTCAGTAAGCTCTGAGCACCACCAGGTGTGACATAAAAACCAAACCAAGTCCAAACGAAAAAGGACTGTAGGACAGAGTAAAGGAAAGAGCAGAGAGGTTCAGAGTGATTCTGTAAGGAGCAGAGGAGTCACCAGCTTACTACAGGCCCAGACAGTGAGCCTGGGACACCAGCCCAGCAGCGAGGAGGCTGGACAACCCAGGAACAGACCCCAAGTGTGACGCGACAGCAGCGACTTGATACTCTCAGACAGGACGAGAGTCAGTTCACAGTGGCTAGTCTGATGGAGGAAGTGAAGCAGTAAGTGCAGAGTAACTTCCACAAGAGCCAACCCAAAGCAAATGCCCAGGTACTGTGGCCTAGAGACCTCAATCCAGAGAGCAGATAGTTACTGGCCTAGCGAGTTCAAGGCAAAGCTTGTGCTTTGCACATGGAAGGCCCCAGGTGTGATGCTGGCATCAGGTGGGCCCTAAGCACCACGGGGGGGGGTCACCTGACTGACAGGTCTCCACCACTGAGCTGAGCATCACTGGGAGTGGCCCCAGGTCCCCTGAGCACTGCTCAGGGTAGCCCATAAAGTAAGTCAAAACTGCAAAACGGAAGGAAGGAAGGAAGGGTTCCCTAAACAAAATGGAAATGAAATGCAAAAAGTATGAACTACAAAGTCATAAGCAAAAGTCTAAGGGGAACAATTGTTTTTTTTTTCTTTCAAAGAGGCTTTGAGGGGCTGGAAAAATCACACAGGAGTTAAGAGGCCACGGGTCAGAGTGATAGCCCAGCGGGCAGGGCACTTGCTTTGCACGCCATTGACCCGGGTTTGATCTCGGCATCCCAAATGGTCCCCTGAGCACCACCAGGAGTAATTCCTGAGTGCAGATCCAGGAGTAACCCCTGAGCTTTACTGGGTGTGGCCCAAAAGCAAAAAAAAAAAAAGTATTCTCTTGTATGAGGCCAACTTTGTGCATTCCCTGGCACTGCTCGGTCCTCTGAGCTCTGCTGGGCTTGACCCCTGAGCTCAGAGCCAGGAGTAGCCCTGAGTACAGCTGGGTGCAGCCCAACTTTCCAGGAAAAAAGTTACCAAGAGGAAAAGGAATAGTCTCGTTAGGTACCAGTTTTCACCCACCAGATCAGCAAACATTTTAAACTCTGATATTCTAAGTGTTGGCAAGACAATAGAAAAGGGGGAACTCATACACATGACAGGAACATGAAGTGGTGCAACCAGTTTGGAGGAAAACAGTATCTTCTGCTGAAAGAGAAATGATTATTTTTGGATTTGTGGCCACACCCAACAGTGCTGGGGGCTTGGGGGTGCTCCCGGTGCTGCTCAAAGGACCATGAGGTACTGGGGATGGAATTAAGGGTTCTCACCTGTGTTCCAGCCCTTTGGTTTTTTTGTTTGTTTGTTTGTTTGTTTTTTTGTTTTTGTCACACTCAGCGATGCTCAGGGGCTCATGCACTCACGAATTACCCCTGGCGGTGCTCAGGGGACCATATGGGATGCTGGGAATCAAACCTGGGTCGGCCGTGTGCAAGGCAAACGCCCTACCCGCTGTGGTATTGCTCCAGCCCCTGTTCCAGCCCTTTGAACTATCTGCCTGTCCCCGAAATATTTCTTACATGCAGCTAGGCCAAATCCTAGAAAATCTTGCCCAGGGATTGTTCATAACAAAATGTTCATAGGCTTCCTCTTTGTTTTTAATAGCAGAAGACTGGAAACTAATACCTGTTTGTCAAAGAATGTTCTACCTGAGGGTGATCTCGTTACCTAGTGGGATGAAAGCGAATTAACTGGAGTTGTGGGCACTAACCTGTATACATCTCAGGAACATTTAAAAAAGAAGAAGAAGAAGAAAAAAAAAAAAAAGGAACTTGCAGAGTATACATTACATAATGCCACTCATCCAGAGAACCATGTAAAATCTGTCGTTAGAGCAGCACACAGATGTAATAAATTAGGGAAAAGCTAAGAATGATCCAGACTCGAAATTCAGACTAGTGGTTAGGTCCTAGAGGGAGGAGGGAGAGGTCATTTACATCCTAGCTTCTTAGACTGGGGGAGTGGAGGAACTGAACAGAGGGCGGGGGCATGAAACATCTGGAACGATGAAATGTTTCTGAATGCAAAACAACCAGGAAAAAATTCAGACTCAACCGCATGTGAATCCGAGTATTTCTGGCAGTGCTCACCCAGACTGCCTTTCAGGGAAGGGAGCCTGGCGGGGTCCCAGGGACTGGGGAAAGGGCTCAGAAGCTCTGTTCTGGGGCCTCAGGCTCGGGGGCCCCTGCCGGAGGGGAAGCTTTGCTTTACAGCTTTGAGTGATCGGTACCTAGTGCACCCTATATTGTTCTTTCGCCCTTTTGTATGTAACGATTTCATTTTCTCACTCTCTACAAAGATCACAGCTTGAGCGGCTGGCGCACGTGGAATGCCCAGCGCCTGACCATCAGGTTTAAAGTGTGTTTATCTACAGCAAGGCAGCAGAGTAGGTCCAGGGCCACGTGATGAGAGAACTGATCCAAACTGAGTAAACGGAAGTGGTGGCTGAGAGGGACGGGCCTCGGGGTCCTTAGGAGAGGGAGGTGGGGACACTGAAGGGTGTGGTGTTGGAATTATGTGCATGAGAAACCAATAGTAATAGCATTATAAATAACAATCTCTATTAAAAAATCTAAAAAAATCTAAAAAAAGAATGAAAATTTCAAATTTCAAAATAAAGTGTGTATATCTAAACATCTGTATAGAGTTGTGTTTTGTTTTGTTTTTTTTTTTTTAAGACAAAGGGGCTTGGGAGGGGGACGAGACTGTGTCACGAAAGTCAGGCTGAAGAGCAGGAAGTGGTTCTGGTTCAAGGACGGACCCGGGTGGGCAGGTGAGTGGATTGCCCCCCAGCACACAGGCACCAAGGGTGTCAACCGTGCAAGTCAGGTTCCAGCCACACCCTAACGAGGCCAGGCTGTCAGGGCTTCATAGTGGCCTCGGATCCCCAGAGAGGGGGTATGCGTCCCTGCTCCAGCCTAGGCAATACCGCATCTGGTTTTGGTCTCTAAGGACAAGGTCGCTGTGCGAGGTCCCTGTCCCCTGGCCGGTGGCCGTGTTGATCTGAGTAGTGTGAATGGAGGCACCTATTGGGGGGGGACCCCTCTGGGTGGTGGCTGCAGCCCAGGCTTCGAGCTTGGTCCCTGGGAAAAACGCACCCTGCACAGCTCCGGAACCCAGCACAGCCTGTGCCCAGCAGCAGGCGGGAGGCGGGGTCCTCCTGTGCTGCCTACGCCCTTGGACATCTGGTGCTCCCCGTTAGCTTCCTGGGGGAATCCCCGGCTTTCTTAGGGCCTTCCGGGGGCTGGGGGAGTCCCCAGCTTCCCCACAGCCTTCTGGGGCAGTACCTGACTGTCCCAGGCTTGGGGCTCCCACAGCCCGTGCCGGGTCATGCAAAGCCCCGTGAGCGCTGTTCTTACTCCTTTTGTCCAGGCCCAGGGCACTGTCACCCCAGTTCATGACACTCGGGGCCCGCTGGTGACACAAGTGTCAACGGAGTGTCTGCAGATCTGAAAGAGACACACAGCACCGTGAGGCTTGTCACTCTCCCCACGTCCCAGGCCCTCCTCCCTGCCAAAGGCGCCTGCCTCCCTGACCTGTTACTTAAGTGATCACTTCTGAAGCCCCTGGACTGGACCCCCCCGCCCATTCTTGCAGGGGGCTCTCTCCTATTCGTTCCACCATCCCTTCACCATCAGCCCCTCCAGCTTTCCTCCAGCCAGCTGGCACTGGAAGAAACGGGCTGTGAATTCAAGTACTAGGACCAGTGGCCGAAAAGGACCTACCAGGAGTATTTCACCCGTGCCAGGCCAGGTTCTGAATGCCTCCGGCCCATCATCAGGTACGGGTGTGGATGTGAGGGTGTCACATATTGGAGGCCAGTGCTCTTCCGCTCTTTACATGCACTCTGTCCTCCACCCACCACAGGGGACGCTGAGGCCCAGGAACCTACTGGGTTCCAGTGATTTTGTTGTTACGGTGTTGTTTTGGGTTTTTGTTTGTCTGGTTTGGGGCCTTATGCGGCGATGCTCAGGGGTTCCTCTTAGCTCTGCACTCAGGAATTACTCCTGGCGCTGCTCAATGGACCATATGGGATACCAGGTTAGCCAAGTGCAAGGCAAAAGCCCTACCCACTATTCTACCCCTCCAGCTCCTGTTTATTCTGGGTTTGGGGACCACACCTGGTGTGCTGGGGGCTACTCGCAGCTCTGTGGTCTGGGATGATGTCGGTGGTGCCAGGGCGGGGGTGGGGGGCCTTGGGGTGCTGGGGATCGAACCTGGGCCCCCTGCATGTAAAATCTGCACAAAGCCAGTCTCTCGGGTTGTGAACTGCATGCTGTGGCTGACCCCCTCACCCCACCCCCCATCTTCCTCCCTGCACTTACAACGCAAGACGGCCTCCCTGACTTGGTGGAAACCGCCGTCTGGGCCCCGGCCATCCACGGAGTACATGAAGCGCAGCTCAACGGGGCAGGCGTCCCGGCTGATGCCCGCCAGCAGCGGGATGGTGCGGCCCTCGGCGCCGGGCTCCTGGCTCAGAGCCTGCAGCATCTGGTGCTTGCACCAGGGGTCCTTGAGGAAGCCCGGGGTGAGGAGCAGCACGCGGCAGTGGCTGCCGCTCAGGGCCTGGCACAGCTCGGACACGATGGCGCCGCCGGGGGTGGCGTCACGGAGCTGCAGGAAGCAGCGCAGGCCCCCGGGGCCGCCCTCCAGGTAGGAGACCAGCTCCTGGGCGGCCACCAGGTCCTCTTCACTGTGACACACGCAGATGTCATAGTCTCTGCTCCAGCGGCCGCTGCTGGAGGCCTCGGGTGCGGGTGTGGGGGCCGGGGAGCTGGACGCCGTGGCTGGGGTTTCGTGCTGGGAGCTGGGCTGCACTGTGTTCGTCCCGGAGGGGCTTTCTGGGGAGCTGGACATCTTCTTGGGCTTCTTTGCCAGAGCCCGCCTGAACCAGTCTGTGGGGGGTGAAAACTGGGTCTCAGCCTACAGCTTCTTCCCGCCCAACCCATCTCCCCTAAGCAGTGGCCCCTGTTGGCCAACCCTGGGGAACCCCCCTACAGGATGTGCCGCAAAGTTCCCAGCTACCAGCCTACGGGGAACCATGGTTTCACCCTTCTTCACCTGCCCTGGCCCCCTTAACCAGAGTTCCCCATGAACCTCCCATCCGGAAGGCTGCAGAGAAGAGCCGTATGAAGCTACCAAGGGAGCCCCCGGCCCTCAAATCCGCTTCCAACAGAGAGGGGAGGTGGATTTCCATCAACAGGGATTGTCCTTTCTGGGTGGGCAGGCACCAACGGGTCGCCTCTCTTTGGCCCTGAGAAATCCCAGGTGCTTGCCAAATAGGTAACACAAAGCTGGCAACTCAGCATCGGGTGGCATGGGGTTTAGGCGGGACCTACATTTCACGGGCCGGAGAGAGTACAGCAGGTATGGTGCTTGTGTTGCATGCAGCTGACCTGGATTCAATCCCTGGCACCATATATGGTTCCCCAAGCACCCCCGCCTCCCCCAAAGTGATCCCCGAACAGAGTCAGGCACAGTCCTTGAGCACCGCTGGGCATGGCCCCAAATCAACCAAGCAACCCCCCCTACACTTTGGGCTGGGGAGGAAGTGTCAGTGGTAGAGCACAAGCGTCGTGGGCCCTGGGTTTGGTCGCCAGCACCACACGGGTCCCCTCAGCAGCAGGAAGCAACAACACAAGTCTCTGCTCTGGGAGGCAGGCGCACAGACTGGGTGTGGGCCCTTCAAGCCCCCGTTTCGGGGTTACCGACTGGCACAGACAGCACGTAGTTTCAAGTCAATGCCTCTAGCTTTATCGCTTTGTTTTGCTTTGGTTTTTGTTATGGGGCCACATCTAGCAGTGCTCAGGGGGCCGTGCGGTGCCAGGGATGAAACGCCGGGCGCCCCCCCCCACATCAAAACCTGTGCTCCAACCCTTCTCGCCGTCTCCCGCCACCCTATCACCCTCATGTGAGGTTTCAGTGACCGGGCTGCACACACACTGGGCCGTGGTGCTCTCGGAACCAGTCACGCTGCAGCTACAGGGATGCCAAGGCTGGGCCACAGGGATCACCAGAGCCCCCGGGTGGTGTTGGGATGGAAGCTGAGGCTCGTATCTGGTAGCCAGATGCTGCACCTCTAAGCCAGCCCTGCCATTCCCTGACCCACCCCCGCCCGCCCCGGCCCTCCGATTTGACTCGGGACCGGAAGTTCCCGTTTCTGGAGGCGGTTTTGATTCCCTTGGGCTTCTGCCTCTGGATGAAGACAGGTAGGACCGAGGAGGCCAGGGGAAGCTGTGAGTGACCCCAACTCCTTCAACCCCCTCATTTGGGTCAGCCCCCTCCCACGCTGTAGGGACCCTGGGGACCCTCTGACGGGAGCTGGAGCAGAATGAGGAGTGACTCCACTCACCAGCCATCTTGTCCAGAGGCTTCTTAGAGGCAGAGCCAGACGGTGGGGAGGACATGGACGATGCCATCGGGCCGGGCTCCGAACCAACCCCATGAGCCCAGGCATTGGGGACACGGGTGGAGGGCGGGGCCCCCAGTGTGACGTCATGGAGCCGCCATCCTGCCAGGGACAGAGCACAGGTCAGCCACACTGCGGTTCTCCTGAGCGACCCCAGAGATCTGTGTGTCCTCCCACACTCAGCCTCGATCCTGATGGACAGAGGTAGCCCCAGTGGCACAGACGCAGTTTCAGATCGGCCCCCCGCCCCCAACCTGCAGGACCAAGTGGGACTTACAGAGTTCGAGCTCAGCATGACCGGAGGGGCTGTGTGCGGCTCCGGCCGGCCCAGAACACATCAGGGCTGAATGGGAGAAGGAAGGCGAGTAATCGCATCTCCAGGTGCTGAGTGGGAGAGAGAAAACAGGGCTGGGGGTGCTGGAGCAATAGCACAGCGGGTAGGGTGTTTGCCTTGCACACGGCCAACCTGGGTTTGATTCCCAGCATCCCATATGGTCCCCCGAGCACTGCCAGGAGTGATTCCAGAGTGCATGAACCAGGAGTAACCCCTGAGCATCGCCAGGTGTGTCCCAAAAATGAAAAAAATAGAAAAGAAAAGAAAAGAAAACAGGGCTGGGAAACCTGGCGACTTTCTTCTGGGGCTCATGCCCGCAACCATAGCATCCCGCCCTCTTCGGCCTGCCCAGCTCATGTCCAGGGCTCAGCAGGGCCCGCTAGGATACTCACCTCTTAGCTTTGGTCTTGGGAAAGTTTCGTTTTCTCCCTTATCATTAGCCTTTAGTCCCTTTATCTGTGAAACAGAAATCAGAGTCATTCTGTCTCAATGTTATGGTGAAGATTACATTGGTAGGTAGTTTATATCAAGTGTTAACGGGCGCTACAAACATGACTCGGAAAACAGTGAAGGTTGACAGGCATTTCACATAACCAGGTGGGGCCTGAGCGATAGCATAGCAGCATGGGCGCTTGCCTTGCGTTCGGCCAAACTGAGTTCCATTCTGACACCCCATATGGTCCTCTGAGCCCAAAGCACAGAGCTCGGAGGAAGCCCTGAGCACCACCGAGCCTGGCCCCACAACAAAACAAAACAAAACAAAACAAAATAACCTAGGGGCCAAAAAGAACTCAATGGGCAAAGCACGTGCTTTGCAAACATGCATGCAGGAGACCCTGATTCAATCCCTCATACTGCCTGGTCCCAAAGCACTGAGCTGGGAGTTGCCCCTGAGCACTGCTGGATGTTCTTCCAAACTCCGAAAATTCCCCCCAAAATCATTCTGGGGGGGCCCCAAACCCAAAAAGTTCAGGGATTACTCCTGGCCATACACTCCAAAATTGCTCCAGTTGGTGCTCGGTGCACCATATGGAATGCTGAGGATGGAACCCGGCTTGGCCACGTGCCAGGCAAATGCCCTACCCACTGTGCTATCTCTCCAGCCCTTCCACTTTTCTTTTTTTTTAAATAATGAAAGAATCTAGTGATTGGAGCCATTAAGTTCAGGACATAGAACAGTGTTTCTCAACCTGTGTCTGACTGTGGCCCTTTCCTGCCTGTGGTTCTCTGTCCTACTGGTTGTCTCCTGAATCTCGTGCTATGCCCCCACCATTTACGCAGTTGTCACCTGCGCCCCCCCCCAAAAAATATCCTGGGGACCCGCAGGGGACCATATGGCCCCAGGTTGAGAAACTCTAGCTTAGGTAACTCAGTACTATTCACATCTGTTCTCTTTTACATCAGTGCTGATGCGATCCTACGTCCCAGCAAATGTTTGTTTTTGGGGCTGAAGGAAGGTGTTGCCTAATAGCTTTTTTTTCCCCCTTTTTTCTTTTTAGGTCACACCCGGTGATGCTCAGGGGTTACTCCTGGCTTTTCACTCAGGAATTACTCCTGGCAGTGCTCAGGGGACCACATGGGATGCTGGGAATCGAACCCGAGTCAGCCGCGTGCAAGGCAAACGCCCTACGCGCTGTACTATTACTCATGCAAATTGATAAGCAAAGTGGGAGTCCAATGGCAGAGTGCTGCATTGTGGTGACTGTCACTTCCAGTGACACGTCTAACGGCGGCCCAGTCTAGTGACAGAGCAAATGAAGGGCTGAGGGACTTGGGGTCTCTCACAGTCGGCCTGGCCTGCAGAGGGGCTGCAGAGATGCACAAACAGCTGAAGCATGTGCTTTGCCAGTGGGAGGTCCAGGTGCCATCCCAGCTCTGCAGGATGTCCGGCACGGACAGGACTAACCCTAGAGCACTGAAGGACTACGCCTGAGCACCACTGGACACCCCCTAATTAGACTAACTAACTAAATGCCCTGGAATTTACACAGAAACAACTATCACTAAACACACTGGCTGAAATGCTTTCAAAATATAAAGAACATTACACAGTGCTGGCCAAGAACACTTTGCTTACCATGCTAAGAGCTAAGGATGTACATTAAGTGAAACCGAACATGTCAGATTTTTTTTTTATGTAGGAGTACTGCTATTTATTCAGCCACTGATTAGCTGATTAAATTGTGTATGAACTCCACCTTACTTTTTTTTTCATTTTTTATCAATTTGCTCGAGCGGACCCAGTAACGTCTCCATCGTGAGACTTGTTACTGTGTTTGGCATATCGAATACGTCATGGGGAGCTTGCCAGGCTTTGCCGTGCGGGCGAGATACTCTCGGTAGCTTGTCAGGCTCTCCGAGAGGGGCGGAGGAATCGAACTCGGGTCAGCCATGTTGGCTGCATGCAAGGCAAACGCCCTACCGCTGTGCTATCGCTCCAGCCCTTCATTTTTTTTATAAATTTATTTATTGAATCACCATGCGAGCAGTTACAAAGCTTTCGGGTCTAAGTCTCGGTCATACAATGAAACACCTGTACCTTCACCAGTGCCCATTCTCCACCCTCAACAACCCCAGTATACCCCCAGCTCACACCCTCCCCCTACCTGTGGGGCAGATGATTTCCACATCACTCTCTCTCTACTTTAATCACATTCAATATTTTGACACCGGACCCACCATTATTATTTGAGATTTTATCCCAACACTCAGATCTGCTGAAAAGGCAACAGTAGACAATTTGTTTTCTATTGCTGGTTATGAATAACATATGATGTCGCGTGGCTGCAGTAGTGGCCGCACGATTTTGAAATTCCAAAATTTTAACACTTAAATCTGGAGGGATTTCTGCCAAAACCTGCTGGGTTCCAAGATTTGCTCCTGAGTCTCTGGGATCATGACTGTTGAGCAACTTGATGAGGAGCCAGAGAGACCTTTCGTGGGCAATGACTTGGGGTCTTGTTGGGGTGGGGAGGACAGGACCGGCTCCACCCCCATCCCATGAGGTCCAAAATGTCTCGTCACTGCGGGCCCAAACCTGACTGTCCAATGGCTTCTGGAGGATGACAGCCACAGAGCCGCCAGGGGAAGCAGGCAGAGAGACAACACCCTTTCCCTCCTGGGGTGGCCCAGCGACAGTAACCTACTGCATGGTCCAGATGCATTTCTGCCAAAAGCCGCTGGGTTTCGAGATTTGTTTCTGAGTCTCTGGGATCATGGCCGTTAACCAGCTTGATCAGGAGCCAGAGAGGCCATCCGTGGGCGATGGAAAATGTCAGATTTAAATCAGAATTTCTTCTTCCTTTTTTTTTAAAATGTAGGAGTACTGCTATTTATTCAGCCACTGATTAATCTCCTTCCTTTTTTTCCCCTTCCTCTCTCTGTCTCTGTCTCAGTCTCTCTCTCTTTCTTTCCTGTTCTGGTTCTGGGCCACATCTGGTAGTGCTCAGGGCTTACTCCAGGCTCTGTACTCAGGGAACACTCCTGGCATGTGGACCATGTATAGTACCAGGGATCAAACTAGGTCAGCTACATGCAAGGCAAGTGCCCTACCTGCCGCACTGTTGCTCCAGCTCAAACTGTATACTGCATTTCTAGAATGGAATACAACTCAGCTATAAAAGAAAGATGAAATTTTGCCATTTGCAAGCAAGATGACATGTTAGCTCAAGTGATTAGGCAAAATGAAATAAGACAGAAGGAAAAGACAAGTATTGGCTGATTTTCACCCATGTGTGCAATATCAGGAGATAAAAGTGGTGTGCAGAACAAAGAAATAAGAAATAAAAACAGACCCATGAACACTGAGAGCAGGACAGAGAAGAGGTAGGATGGGAGCTGGGTGGACGAGTTATAAGAAAGAAAGGTGGGATTTTATTAATGTCATTTTTGTGGTGACAGGGAGTGGATCCAGGGAGTGAATCCATATGAGAGAGAGAGAGAGAGAGAGAGAGAGAGACAGACAGACAGACAGACAGACAGAGACACCAGACAGAGACAGTGACAGAAAGAGACAGGGACAATGAAGCAAGCTTGAAATCCTGAACAGAGCAGGCAAAAGTGACTGGAAATGGGGTCGGGGGCTTCTGGGGTCCCCTACATGTCTTGCATATTTCCGTTTTCCTGCAATGTAGAGCATTGGACACACTCAGTGTGAAAGCTGGGGGAGGGAACTTAGAATCCCTGCACTTGTCTATATTCAGTTGTATTTCAATTTTGGGAGGGACGACGGCGTTAGGTTGGGCTCCACCCCACTATGCTCAGGGCTGACTCCTGTCTCTGTGCTCAGGGATCACTCCTGGTGGTGCTCAGGGGACCATATGGGGTTCCAGGGATGAAACAGATCAGCTGCACACTGCCCTCTGCAGTACCTTCCAGCACACACACACACACACACACACACACACACACACACACACACACAGAAAACTTTCCAGAACCTTATGGGGTTCCAGAGACCAAACAGATCAGCTGCACACTGCCCTCTGTAGTACCTTCCAGCACACACACACACACACACACACACACACACACACACACAAAGAGAAAACTTTCCAGAACCATATGGGGTTCCAGGGACGAAACAGATCAGCTGCACACTGCCCTCTGTAGTACCTTCCAGCACACACACACACACACACACACACACACACACACACAAAGAGAAAACTTTCCAGAACCACATGGGGTTCCAGGGATGAAACAGATCAGCTGCACACTGCCCTCTGCAGTACCTCACACACACACACACACACACACACACACACACACACACAGAAAACTTTCCAGAACCTTATGGGGTTCCAGAGACCAAACAGATCAGCTGCACACTGCCCTCTGTAGTACCTTCCAGCACACACACACACACACACACACACACACACACACACACACACACAGAAAACTTTCCAGAACCTTATGGGGTTCCAGGGATGAAACAGATCAGCTGCACACTGCCCTCTGCAGTACCTTCCAGCACACACACACTCACACACACACAACAACAACACACACACTCACACACACACACTCACACACACACACACACACACACACACACACACACAGAAAACTTTCCAGAACCTTATGGGGTTCCAGGGATGAAATAGATCAGCTGCATACTGCCCTCTTCAGTACCTTCCAACACACACACACACACACACACACACACACACACACACACACAGAAAACTTTCCAGAACCACCGGCTGTGACTTCTCTCAGAGCAGCCCTGACCCTGGGGTGCCCCGGGAGGTGTCTCCTTTTGGGGATTCTCCTTGCGCCCCCTCCTCGTCCTCCTCAAGGCTGCACCCCTCCTGCTCAGTGGGGTGACCCCCGCACTCGGCATGCTCTTGCTGCAGCAGACCTGCCGGTGAACCCCAAAGGAAAGGCGGATCTTGTTGCCTTAGAGACAGGAGGGCGAAGCGGTGACAGCAGTCCAAGACCGGGACCCCGGACCCAGCCCGAGCGGGGGTCCCTCTGCCCCGGAAACCCGTGCGGTCCCAGCAAAGCGCAGTCCAGCGCGCCCGCACCCCACCCCCCGGGGCGCCGCACCCCATCCCAGCGCGGGGGGGGGGGGCGCGGGCCTGGAGCTCACCTGCGCGCGGGGCGCGGGGCACGGGTGCGACTGCGGGCGCAGGGGCGGTGCGGGCGGGCGCTGTCTCCCTGCCCGCGGGCGCGCGGCTGCCGGCCCACCCCGCCAAGGGGAAGTTGGGCCACCGGCTGGGCTCCCCGGAAGCCGCGTTGCCGGACGCGCGGCCCCTCCTCCGTACCCGCCCCAGAACCCAGAGCTCGGAGTGGGGCGCGGCGCCTTTGGAGAGGGGCTTGGTGGAGGGCGGCTCGGTGGAGGGGGCCCGCCGAGAACCTCCTCGCTACAGCCGCTCTGAGTTCCTGGAAACCCGCAGAGAAACTGAAACCGCTTTAGTTCACCGTGGGGGAGGAGAAAAACCGTATCTTAATTCACTGGCGTTTGCCTTGCACTCGGCAGGTTGACTGGGGTTCGATTCCCAGCATCCAAGAGAGCCCCGCAAGCTACAGAGTATCCCTCTAGGAGAGCCCGCAAGCTACAAAGTATCCCGCCCGCTCGGCAGAGCCTGGCAAGCTCCCGTGGTGTATTAGATATGCCCAAGACAGTAACAACAAGTCTCACAATGGAAATGGTACTGGTGCCCGCACTCGAGCAAATCGATGATGAACAACGGGAGGACAGTGCTAAAGAGACCCCTCCCCACCTTTCTTGGCTTGCTCCTGGCTCGGACCCCAGGAGTCACTCCTGTTAGGGCTCCGGGGATCCTCAAGGTGCACCTGGGAATTCAACGCGGCTCGCTGAGTGCAAAGCAGGACCCTACCCGCTCTGCACCATCTCCCCTGCTGTTTTTTTTTTCTTTTTGGGTCACACCCAGCAGTGCTCAGGGGTTCCTCCTGGCTCTGCACTCAGGAATCACTCCTGGGGGTGCTGGGGGGACCATATGGGATGCTGGGGGTCCAACCCAGGTCAGCTGCGTACAAGGCAAATGCCCTACCCGCTGTGCTATCACTCCAGCCCACTCCTGCTTTTACTTAATCCTCTTATCATGAGCAGAGGGCTTGCATGACCGAGAAAATGAGGGCTGGGCGTCCACAGGAGCTTTCCTAGGGTGACACTCAGCTTGAAGGGGGCTTGGATGGGAAAGGCCATCCTGGCGAGGATGCTGGGGCCCAGCCTGCCTGGCACTGATGCCCCAGGGAAACTGAGGCTATTGGCTGCTCTGTCTCCAGGGGGCACAGCTGAGCAGGTTCTGCAGGCCCTGATGGAGACACACTCCTCCTACCTCCTGGCTACCTCCTGGGGTGCCACTCTGCAGACGAGCACAGGGCACTCTCTCCTGAACAGGCAGCTCACTCTCTCCTTCCTCCTCTCACTTCCCAAATAAACGTATCTCACAGAGAAAAGTCAGTGCAGCCAGGGAAGTGGTCATGGCCAGCACTTCTCTTATCTGTCAGAGGTCCTGCTGAGCAGCCCACAGCCCTAGGGCACGCCAGGAGGGGCCGGCAGCCCCTGACCACTGCTGGGGAGGGTCCCTCTCCCGAGATAATAAAAAGGAAAGAAGACATTCAGAACACGGCTGCTGAGAGACTCTCCCGCACAGGGAGTGCACAGATGAACCAGGTTTGCTCCTGAGACTCTTAGACATGGGGTGCATGGATGCAGCATGGATGCAGTGCTCCTGAGAGACACTCCCGCACGTGGGCATGGGGATGCAGCAGGCTTGCTCCCTAGAGACTCTCCCCCACGTGGGTGAGTGGATGGAGGTTTGCTCCTGAAAGACTCTCCAGCACGTAGGCGTGGGGATGCGGCGGGTTTATTCCCGGGAGACTCCTTACACATGGGGTGCGTGGATACAGCAGGTTTGCTCCTGGGAGACTCTCCCACACGTGGGCGCGTGGGTTTGCTCCCGAGACTCTCCCGTGCGTCGATGCAGCGGGTTTGCGCCCGAGCATGTGAGACGGAAGGACAGCGGCGGGAGAATGAAGTGGCCTGGCCGCTGGGCTCTGCCCGCTAGTGCTCGTCTCTAAGGTGCAGCAGCTGGGGCTGGCGCTGAGCCGGAGCTGAGGAAATGCTGTCCAGACCGGTGACCTCAACCTGCCCTGGACAACAGGCCCCGAAGGCACCCAGAAGAAGGCCATGGCTTTCAATATGCTGCCTGACCCCTTCAACCTGTCGGCTCCCAGCCCAGAGCCGGTCACTGGGGTGTTTTGATAGCAGTGGCCGCGAAACAACCCCAGGGCAGACAGGAAGACTGGCAGGTGGAGACGGCGCATTTATTGATGGAGAGATCGCAGGAGTGGGCAGGGGGCTGAGGTCAGGCCAAGCTGTCCCCGCTGCTGTCTGAGCTCTGCCGGGAGGGCACCAGGAAGCAGAGCTGGGCCGTAGCCTGAGACCAGGAGGTGCTCTGCAGGGTCTCCACAGAGGTGGCCGCAGCTGGACTCTGGGTCTGCTCCTGCACTCGGGGTTGGCGGGGGCCATAGACAGTTTCAGGGGGGACGAGTCCACCTCCCACCTTGACCAGGGAGGAAGCAGCACCTGGAGGGAGGAGAAGAGGGTGGGTGGAGGAGAGGGAAGAGGAGAGGAAGGAAGAAGAGAGGAGAGAGGAGAGGAGGGTGGAGGAGAGGAAGGAGGAGGAGAGGAGAGAGAAGAGGAGGATGGAGGAGAGGAAGGAGGAGGAGAGGAGGGAGGGAGAGAAGTGAGGAGGGAGGAAGAAGAGGAGGGAAGGGGGAGGGAAGGGGGGGAGGGGAGAGGGAGGAGGGAGCCCGCACACAGGATGGAGGCAGCTGGCAGGTCTCACCAGCTCAGATGATATTGTGTTCCAGCACCTTCTCTCCCAAGAAGAAGCGGCTGAAGAGGAAGGCGCTCAGGTCGATGGTCTGGAAGTGGCCCTCCAGTACCATCTCGGCCACCGCGCGCCCCACAGCTGGTGCCTGCTGGAGCCCGTGGCCGCTGAAACCCGTGGCAAAGTACATGTTGGTGACGAGCGGGTGGGGGCCCACCACGCCGTTCTGGTCGAAGGTGTTGTAGTCGTAGTAGCCCGCCCAGGAACTCCGCACCTGCAGGAACATGCACCGGGGGTCTGGGACAGCAGCCGCGGGGGGCCCCCCACTTCTGGGCCAGTGGTCAGGAGCTCTGACACCATCAGGGTCACCACCAGGGGGCGCACAGCTGAGGGCGCCTCGGTGACCTTTGAGTCCTGGCTCCGGCAGTTACCTTTAGAGACTCAAATGCGGGCACCCGCTGGGCCAGGGGAGGCCACACCTTCTCCTGGAAGAAATTATGGTCCACGTCCAGGTTTCCCGGGTCGGGCTCGTCCTCCTGCAGTGTGAGCAGAGATGAGACTGATGCTGCCCAGGCCACCAGCCGAGGGACCGACAGTCCCCTCTTCTCAGCGTTCCCTGCTCGGTCCTCTCGGGCTGGGCCCTTCCGTGGGTGTTCCCAGCCCCCCACCCCCTTTACCAACCTCCAAGGGGCTCCGGCCACCCAGGTAGTTGTGGCCGAGTCCTTCCCGGCGGAAATAGGCCCCGCTGCTGTCTGCAACGAAGGGGGTCTCGAGGCCGGGTCCCTGGGGGCAGTGCCAGAAGTACAGGTACCTGTGGATTCGGGGGTGGGGTGAGGAATCAGAGCTGGGGGTGCAGTGTCCTCCTCCCACAGACCAGACTTTTCATGGCGTCTCTACTTCCCTTACCTTTTCCTTGGCTCCACGGGCAGCCTGGTGCCCTGCAGGGTCCCGGGTGGCCCCTGCCCAATGCCAGCCAGATCTGCCACATGGCCTGACCATGCCCCGGCCGCGTTGATCACGATGGCACACTCCACGGGCTGGTACTCCAGACTGCGGTCCATCTTCACCTGGGGGTACACAGTGTGTGCCAGGGCCTGACCCCCCCTTGCCTCCGTTCACCCAGACCGGATGAGGACAAGGCTGGGGGCCCCAGACTGGACATGGACAAGGCTGGGGGGGGGGTCCCAGACCGGATGTGGACAAGGCTGGGGGCCCCAGACTGGACGTGGACAAGGCTGGGGGTCCCAGACCAGAAGTGGACAAGGCTGGGAACTTACATGCACCTGATAGATGCGCTTCAAGGTCACCTCGTCTCCGTTCACCGTCTGCATGCAGTCATGGGAGCACAGGAAACCTGCCGAGAGAAGTCGGCTGTGTGTGTTGGGGGGGGAAGCGAGGAGACGGGGGAGCACCTGGCCAGGGCACCAGAATAGGCCGGAGGCATGTGGCCGCACAGGACGAGATCCGGGACTGTCTGGAGATGCGAGTCACGAGAAGGTGCGTGACAGCAGCCCCCAGGGAATAGCCCATTGGGCCTGGCCTGTGGTAGGAGGGTTGCTGACCCCTGCCAGGCCCCCACCTCACTCACGGGTCACCTCTCCCTGGTAGAAGCGGACGCCCATCGACTGCACCTTCCGCCGGAGGCCCTGGAGCAGACACCAGGGGTCAAACCAGCCCTCGCCCTCCAAGCCTGCGAGGAGAGAAGGGGACACATCGGGGGGGCGGGCCCTGCCCTGCAGCCCAACTCGTCCCTGGGGTGTGAAGGCCAGTGCCATGTTGGGTGAGGAGCCCAGTCCCGTGGAAGGAGCGAGCAGGGGTGGGGGTGGAGGGAAGCAGGGCGCATCTCCCCGGGCCTCACCGTAGGACGCCAACGCCACCCCTTCTGTGTTTATCCAGGGGAACTTGGCCTGCAGCTGCTCAGGAGACATCAGACAAATCTTGGCTCCTTCCTGCCTGAGACGAACGTGTGTCCGGTCAGCGTTTGAGGTGGCGAGGCTGCACTGGTTGACCCGCACCGCTGGTCCACCCTTGCCCCCCCGGGGCACAGCCTACCCCCTGGCTGAAAGGGTGCAGACCAAGCCCCTTGGTCAGGCCTCAGAATCAGACCCGAATTTCCTCTCCTACATATGCCAAAACCAGTAACAACAAGTATCACAATTTGTTGTGAGATGTTACTGGTGCCCGCTCGATCAAATCGAGGAACAACTAGAGGACAGTGCTACAGTGCTAGATTGCTACCCCCTCGGGGGCCCACTGGCCACACACACTGGCCATTCCCTCCCTCTTCCTGGTCCTCCCGACCCCTCCTCGTACAGAGCCACCCTGCGGCACATCTGTCTCCTCTGGACAATTCCCCAAAGTGCACACTCAGAACCAGACCTCTGGGCCCAAATCCCAGCATCACCGCTCCCCCCGTGCCTCAGTTTCCCCACATGTAAAATGGGGGTGTTCTCAAGGCCGAGGGAACGCGTCAGAGACCACAGGGGCCCCAGAGCTCACCGGGTTTATAGGAGGAGCTGAAGGGTTCCCAGGCTCTCCCTGGAGATGGGGTTTGCCAGGCCTGGTGTGTGTGTGTGTGTGTGTGTGTGTGTGTGTGTGTGTGTGTGTGTGTCTGTGAGTGTTCCTAGAATCTGGCAGCCCTAGGAGCCCGTGCAGTACTGCTTCTGGCCCTGGTGCTTGCACTGGGCCGGGGGAGGCCCGTGCCCCTGAGGGACACGGCTCTGGGAGTGGGGGAGCAGCTCTTCAGGTGGGGCGCTGCACGCGTGTGTGCACGTACCCCTCGCAGGCACCCACCTCTGCACCCTCACGTTCCTCTCCATGAGCGCAGCTTCCTTCTCGGAGGCCAGCAGGAGGTAACCTAAAGGGTGGAAGTGGAGGTCCAGCGGGGGGCCATCGACCACAGCCAGGTGCTCCTGCGTGCACAGAACAGCGCCTCAGGGCAGCCTGAAGGGCAGAAGCGCTTCCGAGGCCCAGCCCAGGGAAAGGCTTTCCTGCAGGCCCCCCACTGGGAACTGAGCCCCTGCTCCCCCTACCCATATGTGGCCCAGCAACCCCTCTCTGGCTAACGGAGGGGTCCCCGGCCCCAACCTCAAAATGCACATACGTTGATGTTCCGGAGGAAGTCGAGAGAGGAGAGGGAGAGCTGGATGTTTTCTGGCAAGGAGAACTGTTGGCGAATGCCGCCGGCAGAGAGCCCGGTGGAGGCCCGGGAGTACTGAGGACAGAGAGGGGAGCTCAGTGTCCCAGGGGGACCCAGAGTCACGCACCCATAAGCCACTAAGCCATTCTTCTGGGGCCCCTTCTCGTTAGTCTGTACTCGAGAAACTGAGGACGAGACATTTTTTTCTTTTCTTTTCTTTTTGGGTCCCACCCGGTGATGCTCAGGGGTTATTCCTGGTTCTGCACTCAGGAATTACTCCTGGCGGTACTCAGAAGGCCATATGGGATGCCAGGGATTAAATCTGGGCTGGTTGTGTGCAAGGCAAATGTCCTTCCCGCTGTACTATTGCTCCTGTCCCCTGAGGCATCATTCCAGGGGCCCAGGAATTCTCAAAATCCCTGCCAAAGTGCAGTGCACAGAGGGGCTGCCACCTAAAAGTGCTGGCCTGGAGGTCCAGCAATGGTCAGTCATTTGCCCAAAGGGCTGGTGCTGAGCCTTTCCTCTCAGAACAGGACAAAGAACTAACACATGCGGTGGCCAGCTGACAGCGGCAAACAGGAAAGACTAGAGGGCAAAGCCACAGAAGGAGCCCAACGCAGGTGGAAACGGCCATCTATGGGGGTCATTGCTGGAATGCGGCTCTCTTGGCTGGACCTGTCCACCTCAAGCAATCGGAAGTTGTGAAATTTACTCTAAAAGCCAAAAACCTCTGCCAAGGGCCCCAGTTTGAGAAGCACCAGGGATCATTTCTCAACACGGTGCAAAGGAGACCTAGTGACCTTTCCTCATCCCTGCCCCCGGCCTCACTATGGGGTCCCTTACCGTAGGGTCCCGCTCCACCACGAGCACCTGAACGGCACCGCGCTGCTTCTCCAGCTTCTTCAGCCAATAGGCCACGGACAGGCCAATCACCCCACCCCCCACAATCACGATATCCGAGTGTTCAGGAGGCAGGTGGCTGGTGTCATATATGGGGTCCCAGGCCCCTCCGGGAAGGACGGACTGGATCTTCTTCTTAATCTCCGACACCTTTCCTTCCCAATCTGTGGAGCACAGTCGCCGTCAGAGATAGCCAGCTGTCGCGTTCCCAGCGGCGTTCGCAGAGGGGGATCGGGGAGGTGTAGAAGGAAGACGGCCAGTCCCCACCATCATCCAACCTCCTGTGGCCACCTGGCACCCAGCAGGATTCCAGCTATGCCTCTGCCTAAATGCCCTCGCTGCCTCTTCATGCAGCCCACCAGGACAACTGAGCCTCCTAACGATCTCTTCAACCTTTGTGCCCCCCGCCCCCTTCAGGTCTCTGCAACAGTTCTCAGGGGCCATCGGGACTGCATAGCCACAATGCATGGACAGTTGGGGATCAAACCGGTCCCTCCACATGCATGCCAGTGCTTTGAGCTAATCTCCCCAGCCCAATGTGTCCCCTTACTTTTACTCTCTCTGCCACTTCACCCCAGACCAAGCCACTATAATCTCTCTCCTGTATTAACACAAAAGTCTCCTAACTGTTTTAATGTCCCTCTTGAAACTGCCCAACGTTTTTTTCTGTTCTTGAGGGAGGGGGTGGGTATTGTTTGAGGCCACTCAGGGTTTATTTACTCCTGCATCTGTGCTCAGGGGTCATTTCTGATGGTGTTCGAAGATTAAACTGGGATCGGCCATATGCAAGGCGAGCTCCCTAACCCACAGACTATTGGTCTAGCCCCCAACTTCTTTTCTATAACATAGCTTGAATCTTCCCCAAGTATTCATTAAATGACAGTTCATCAGCATTTAACTTGTTAAAAGTCTTCCAATGGCTTTCCATTATTCTAAAAATATTTGCACTTTTGTGTTATTCCGGGACTTTTTTTTTATTATTATTTTTTGGTGAGGGGAGGAAACATCAGAGGGGGTCACAGAGTGCCAGGGATCGGACACAGGGCCCTGCACATGCAAGGTGCAGCTGTGCCAACTGAGCCATATCCCAGGTCCTTCCATTACTCTAAGGATCAAAGTCCTGTATCTTTGGGCTCAAGACGATGGTTCGGTGGTTTAACCCATAATTTGCATGTGATTCCTTGGGTTCAATCCTCAGGTCCACAAAACCACAAAAAAAAAAAAAAAGTTCAAAGCAGCATTAAAAATCTTCCTCTGAAGAGGAAGGCTTGCCAAACGGGTCTGCAATACATTTACCCACTATGACCTCTACAGAGTGGCTTTTGCTAATTCTTTGCATAAGAATGACACTTTCTCCTCCTAACCTTTGCTCAGTTCTTCAGAACCCGAAGCACACACTTTCCCTGAGCCACTCTTATCCTTCAAGGCTGATCCCAATTTCCACCGGTTCAAGGCACGTCTACTATGTCCGCTAACTTCAGGAACTCGCAGTGCAGGGGGCATTCCCAGGTTGGGCCCTAAGCAGTTTTGCACTGACCTCTTTTAAGTCTTCCCTCTCCAGCTACACTGCAGGCACCTCCAGGGCATGTTGCATCCTCTCTTTCTCTTCTTCCCCTGCTTTAGGGCCACAGCACTAAGCGCAGGATCCTGCACACCAGCAGGTCTGAAAGCTCAACTGTGCCATCATGGGTCTGGCGGGCTCTATTATTCTGCCGGCAAACTGAAGCATAGGAAGACCCGGGGTTTGTCACCCGAGAAAGGACAGCCTCGGGATCCATTCGCCGGGTCCTGGCAGGAAGTTTAACCTCCTTTCCCAGCTCTGCCCTTGTCTTTCCGGCATGCGCCGACCCGGGGTCCTGAATTCTGAAAGCCACGTAGCTGGAAGACTCGGGGCACCCCAGAAACACGATCCCCTCCGTTGCTCTCAACTTTACCCCGAGTAGAGTCTCCTCTGCGTGTGCTCAGCCTCCGGCTCACGAAGGCCCGGCTCGAGGCGAGCTGCAAGACCCTGCGGAGCATGGCCCATAGGCGACAAGTGTCGGTCCGGCAGCGCTGCACTCGACTCGAGCCCTCAATCAACCACGCGACGCCGTCACCGGGCCGGGCCGCCAGTCACGCCCGATGAGCGCGCCCATTGGCTCCCGCGCGGCCCAGACCCCGCCTCTCCGCGCTATTGGCCGCCGAGTCCCCCGAAGCCCCGCCCGGGAACGCCCCCGCCCGCCATTGGCCAGCCCGGAGTGACGTCAGTGCTGCGCGCCGCGGGCGGCGGGGGCGGCGGGCGGGGAAGCCCGCGGGCCGGGCCGGAAGTGCGGCGGAGCGGGCTTCCGGGGCCGCTGGTGTGACGTGTCCCGCGCCTGGCGCAGCAGGAAGCGGCGGCGATCGCGGCCCGAGTTCCCGGCGCCGGCCCGACTCCTTCCCCGCTGCCGCCATGCTCGACTTCTTTACCATCTTCTCCAAGGGTGGGCTCGTGCTCTGGTGCTTCCAGGGCGTGAGCGACTCGTGCACGGGGCCCGTGAACGCGCTGATTCGTTCCGTGCTGCTGCAGGTACCGCCCCCGCGGGATCCGGACTCCGGACTCGTCCCCTGACCCGCTGCTGGGAGCCCTGGGACCCCTGGGACGGACCCCGCGCCTCCCGCCCACCCTCGCGGGCCACCCGCCCGGGGCCGTCCACCCCCGCGTCCCCCGACGTCCGCTTCGCTCTCCCGCCCCCTCCGGACCCCCGTCCTGCAACTTTGCGACGCCCCCACCCCCACCCCCACCCCACCCCCACCCCCCGGACCCGGCGCCTCTCGGCGCTTCTTCCCATCCCTCCCTCCGTTCCCCTCGGCGCTGGCGGTTCTGGCGTTTGCAGGCTGGCCCAGGGGCATGGGCAGAACGCCCCTTAGGGACGGCGGCGGGTGGACAGCTGTCGACCTGGCCCCGACCCCGCTTCCCCGCCCGTCCCTCCCTCTCCTCCCGCCACCCAAACTCCTCCTTCTCCCCGCGGGGTGGGGTGGGGGGGTTCCAGCGCGCCGTCCCCTCTCCAGGGTGGGAGACTGGCCAGACTTGGGGTGGGGGTGGGGAGACGAGGGGTCGGGTCCCCTCCCCTGAGGTCATCTCGGGCCCCACCTCTGGGATGTCCAGGGATGCCCTGAACTGAGACGGAGCCCTCGCATTCTTCTGCCAGGAAAGGGGCGGCAACAACTCCTTCACCCACGAGGCGCTCACGCTCAAGTATAAATTGGATAACCAGTTTGAGCTGGTGTTTGTGGTGAGTAGGGGGCGTTTTAGAGGGGGGGCAGATTACAAGTGCGGTGCCCCGCCCTGATTGGCAGGACCCCGGTTCATTGCACCCAGTTAGTTCAGTGCAGGATGAAGCAACCAGCACATCAGGAAGGTGGTGCTGGTGGTGGTGGTGGGGGCGGGGAAGGGAAGAAGCTCCTTGGCTGTCCTGGGGCAGGGACAGCTGCCAGGTGCTGAGGCAGGCTCGGGAGGCCCCGGGCGGGCCGGTGCCCTTACGCTCTGGGCCTGCCAGTCAGCGGATCTCTTGGCCGGTTCCCTGCACAGGTTGGTTTTCAGAAGATTCTAACGCTGACGTATGTGGACAAGTTGATAGACGACGTGCACCGGCTCTTTCGGGACAAGTACCGCACAGAGATCCAGCAGCAAAGTGCCTTAAGTTTACTGAATGGCACTTTTGATTTCCAAAATGACTTCCTGCGGCTCCTGCGGTGAGCAGCCAGAATCACTCTGGGGGGGGGGGGGGGAGGGTTTGAGAGGGGGGCAACACCCAGCAGTTTTCAGGGCATTCTCTTGGCTCTGTGCTCAGGGGGTCACTCCTGGTGGGCTTGGGGGACCATATGGGGTGCCGGGGATCAGAACCGGGTCAGCTGCGTGCAGGGCAAGCGTCCTACCCGCTGTACTATGGCACAAGCCCCACAGAATCCGTTTCGGAGGCTTGTTTGCCTTTACTTCCCCAGGATGGCGCAGGGGAAGACGGGACATGTGGGCAGGGACTCCGCGAACTGCCCTCTCTTGGAACTCTGAGCCATCTCCTTGCCCTTTAGGGAAGCAGAGGAGAGCAGTAAGATCCGGGCTCCCACCACCATGAAGAAGTTCGAAGATTCCGAAAAGGCCAAAAAACCTGTGAGGTCTATGATCGAGACGCGGGGCGAGAAGCCCAAGGAAAAAGCGAAGAACAGCAAAAAGAACAAGGGCGGCAAGAAGGAAAGTGAGTGTGCACACCTCGGACCTCACCGGGCCTGGACTTGAGGCATGGTGGCGCGCCGAAGGGATCTGTGCTTTTGTCATTTTCCTCCCCCGGGCCTCGGACACCCCCCCCCCCCCCCCCCGTCCCCTCCGTGTCCCCCGCCCCCCACCCCTGCCCCCTTCTCTTGGCTTTGTGATCCTCAGGGTATTTTTGCCTGTCGTCGGTCTTGTTGGAATTCGTACCTTTTTCTCCAGTAGGTTTTCTCTGTAACAGGTTCTGATGGCCCTCCGGCTACCGGCAAAGCAGCCCCTACGGAAAAGTTAGTGGGGTCCGAGAATGGTGTAGAACTTTCCAAGGAGGAGCTGATCCGCAGGAAGAGAGAGGAGTTCATTCAGAAGCATGGGCGGGGCATGGACAAGTCAAGGTGAGGGTCTGCCTTGTGTTGTCAATCCTGGACCCCGGCCGTGCGGGGGGTGCTGGGCCCTCTGGCTCTTGGGTGGGCGCTGCCTCTTCTGCTTCCCCGTCCCTCAACCCACTGCCCCCTAATTCTTGGCAGCAAGTCCTCAAAGTCAGATGCTCCAAAGGAGAAGGGCAAAAAAGCGCCACGTGTGTGGGCGCTGGGCGGCTCTGCCAATGAAGTCTTGGATTACAGTGCCCCGGTCACCACCAATGGTGCCCCTGAGGCTGCTCCACCTGAGGACATCAGCTTGGTAAGAAGCACCTGAGACCAGGGTGAAGGTTATATTAGTAGGAAATTGGAAGGGTTGGCTGGAGCTGTAGTACGGGGGTGAGCGATTGCCTTGCATGCGGCTGACCCGGGTCTGAGTCCCCAGCACTGTCTATGGACTCCCGAGTACCACCAGCACTCATTCTTGAGCACAGGGCCAGGAGTAAGCCCTGAGCTCCACCAGGGTGACCCAGGCCCACCCCTTGCCCACTTTGAGGAGATTGGGAGGAAGCAGAGAGCAGACAGCGCCATTGATTCTGAGGGGTGCGGACTTCCCAAATCTAGGAGACAAGCAAGGCCACCAGAGTAGACCCTGGGCTTCCCCTCTCGCAGGAGTGTCCCCAATCCTTCTTCCTTTCCCTGTCTGTCCCAGATTCGGGGGACTGGGCCTGGGGGCCAGCTCCAGGATCTGGACTGCAGCAGCTCGGAGGATGAGGCGGCTGCTCAGAGCACCACGAAACCTAGGTGGGTGGGGAAGGACGTGTGTGTGTGTGTGTGTGTGTGTGTGTGTGTGTGTGTGTGTGTGTGTGTGTGTATAGTGGGTAGGAGTGGGTTGAGGTGTGTGTGTCTATGTGGTGGTGGTGGGGAGGGGGGGACAGTGTGTGATCGGACGGCGGAGAGTGATGGTACCTGGCTGTGTGCACACACCCGCAGTGCTGCCAAGGGGACTCTGGGCGGCATGTTCGGGATGCTGAAAGGCCTCGTCGGTTCCAAGAGCTTGAGCCGTGAAGACATGGAATCCGTGCTGGACAAGATGCGTGACCATCTCATCGGTGAGTTGCAGGCACAGCTGGCTCGGGTCGTGGGGGACCCGGCAGTGGTTTCGCGGTTGCCACAGCCCTGGCACACCTGTCTCCCTCCCCTCAGCTAAGAACGTGGCGGCAGACATTGCCCAGCAGCTCTGTGAATCGGTGGCCAACAAGCTGGAAGGGAAGGTGATGGGGACATTCAGCAGTGAGTATCGCCCGGCACCCGGCGGCTGAGCATGTCGCTTCCGGTCCGACGGGTGGGGCGCGGGGCAAATTCCCGGCCTTCATCTGCAACAGCCCTTAGACCTGCGACTGGGGCTCCTACCACACGGAGGGAATGCCTGTGGGGTACATGCCTGCACAGGCTGCTTGCATCAGCCGACCCCGTTGGCAGCTCACCCTGGGGATTCACGGGTGCACCCCTTCTCATCTCAGCGGTGACTTCCACGGTGAAGCAAGCGCTGCAGGAGTCCCTGGTGCAGATCCTGCAGCCCCAGCGCCGTGTGGACATGCTCCGGGACATCATGGACGCCCAGCGCCACCAGCGCCCTTACGTCGTCACCTTCTGTGGCGTGAACGGCGTGGGCAAGTCCACCAATCTTGCCAAGGTCAGCGACAGGCCCGCCCGCTGGCCTTGCTGCCCACTGCAGGCCTCCGCAGCTCTGGCTCCAGCGGCGCTCTCTGCCTCTTGCAGATCTCCTTCTGGCTGCTCGAGAACGGCTTCAGTGTCCTCATCGCGGCCTGCGACACCTTCCGGGCAGGGGCCGTGGAGCAGCTGCGCACGCACACCCGGCGCCTGAGCACTCTGCACCCGCCCGAGAACCACGGGGGCCGCACCATGGTGCAGCTGTTCGAAAAGGGCTACGGCAAGGATGCAGCGGGCATCGCCATGGAGGCCATCGCCTTTGGTAACAGCGCTCAGGCCGGGCCGTGCCGGGCCGGACCTTCCGGTGCTCCTGGGGGATGGGCGAAGTCAGGGTTACCTCCCACCAAGTGAGCGGTGTGGCCCAAGGACCGGCGACTGGCGGAGCTGTGCCCGGCAGACCCCCAGCCCAGTCTCCCTGGGGCTCCTCCCCACCACGGCGCTCCTTTTTCCTGAGTAGGCCTGATGGGTTGGTTTTCCCCTTGTACTTCACGCTGCACCCGAGGCTGGGCTCGGAGGTTTTGAGAGGAAGTGGGGTGCAGCGAGGCCTGGGAGTTCAAGGCTGACCACTTTCTCTCCCACTAGCCCGGAACCAAGGCTTTGATGTGGTGCTGGTGGACACAGCTGGCCGCATGCAGGACAATGCCCCGCTGATGACTGCCCTGGCCAAGCTCATCACTGTCAACACGCCCGACTTGGTGCTGTTTGTGGGCGAGGCCTTAGTGGGCAACGAGGCTGTGGACCAGCTGGTAAGGGCCAGCACCCCCTCGCCTCCCATCCTCGGCGTTGGCCTGGCTGTTCCCTCTTACACGCAGCGCATTTCTCCTTTCCAGGTCAAGTTCAACAGAGCTTTGGCCGACCATTCTATGGCTCAAACACCTCGGCTCATTGATGGCATTGTCCTTACCAAATTTGATACCATTGATGACAAGGTAGAGATGCCACACCCCGGGGAGCCTGGGAGGGCCGTGGCATCTGCGTCCTGTTCCGGAGGAGGCAAAGACTTGCGGCCTCCGGCTGATGGGTGTCTCCTCTCTGCCCTGCAGGTGGGAGCTGCTATTTCTATGACCTACATCACGAGCAAACCCATCGTCTTCGTGGGCACAGGGCAGACCTACTGTGATCTCCGCAGTCTTAACGCCAAGGCTGTGGTGGCTGCCCTCATGAAGGCTTAATGTGGCTCTCGCCCAATACCAAATCGTCGCTTCCCCCCAAAGCCCCGATTCCTGTATCAAGAATGTGCTTTAGAGTATGTGTGAGCAACTTGTCTCGGTTGTGTCGCGAAGAGTGAGGGGAGCGCCGCCCGCCCCCGCGTTCGCCTCGCCTCCACGTGCAGGGAGGGCCTAATCATGTTCCGGTCACTGCCCCGCTCTGCCCACCGCGGCGTCCCCCTCACTCTGCCCACAGACTTGGTCTCCTTACAGCTTCGACCAATGGTTGGAAGACCCAACACTAGAGCTAGCTGTGCTAACGCGGGTGGCCGCGGGGTGCGCAGGCACGGGGAGCCGTCTGCGGACACAGCCCCGCTGGGCTGAGACGCCTGGCGCGAGCACCCGGCCCGCGGTGGCCCGTTTAGGATACATAGCTTTCAGTCCCCGTGGCCAGGCGGATGCCCACTGCCCCGTGGTGTGTACGGCTTGTTTTTAATTGCTGCTAATCCCGATGATGACCCCCAGCCCCAGTGTGTCCCCAAAGCATCAGCTAGGCCAGAGTGACGTATTACAGATGAGTGAAAACTGAGCCCCCACTTTCCTCTGAGATAGATAAAGGGAGCTGCACTGCAGTGTTGCGTTGGGCTACTCAGCGCCCCCACCCCAACCCCCGGAATCCAGATGTGAGCGTGCATGTTCCCCTTCCCGGGAGACACCAGCCGTCGGGAGGGTCTGCAAGTTGCCACTGCGCCTGCCCCACTGGCCTCGCGCGGGTCCCGGCTTCCTCCTCCTCTACAGTGCCTGGTAGCCAAGTGCTACGCTGAAGAACAGAAGCCCGTTCCCGTGGTCCCGTGGCTTGGTGTTACAGACGTGCGCTCAGTGCGAGAAGGTGAAGGCGGTCTGCCCAGAGAAACACATAATTTATATAAGAAAATAAATTTCATATGTAAATTGCTTTGTAGGCCTTGGAGTTCTTTTAGACATACTTTATAAAACTTAGGATCCTACCGCACACTCACTGGTTTCAGACTCACGGAAGGACCACTCTGGGACAGCCGGTAGCAAGGGAAAGAACAGAGAGGTTTAAAACGTCAACGGAAGGACCAATGTGAGGCCTGCGGTAAGTCGGTGAGGCGCTTTCTCTAAAAGTGGAGCCAGGGTCCCGGGAAGTAAACGAACAAGCTTTTAATACAACGCAATTATGTAAAATACTGTACACTGTAAAAGAGCTAGAAAACTAGGGCTTCAAGTCATGTTTTAAAAAAGCCATGAGCTCAGTTGAAAAACCAAGTGTAGAGTACAAAACTGCAGCAGGGCCTGGGGGTTCCACAGCGCCTGGGTCCCACATCCGTGTCGTCGTGTGGTAGTCGGTAGGAGGGTCACTGTGCCAGCCTGGGGCTGCGTGGGGGGCCCCTGGGCTCTTGGGTTTCTTGAATGGGAACACATACAGGGCGTCAAGAACCAGCTGGCACGAAGACAGTTGGAACAGGACCCCCATTTCCCGCCCCACCCCAGCCTTCCACTTTTGGGTTTTCGTACTCCAAGGAGCTGCATTGGGTTCTTGCAAATGTACTTGTTAAACACTGTCCAAGGCAGGGCCTTCCAGCTCAGGCTCCACTGGCTGCTCCTGTCGCTCCCTCATGTGCTACAGTCTGTGGAGAGAGATTGAGAGACGTGTCACAGAAGAGGCTTGAACATGTGAAGCGACCCAGAGACTACAGCCCAGCCTAACCACTGAGGGTGCAACACGTCTCAGGAGCGTGGCAGAATCTTGAAAACTTGATAGGGAAAGACACATACTTAGGGGTAAATTGGTTCTCCCAAGGTCTGACCTAAGTCCTAGCAAACATTTTCTGCGGCCAAGGTGACGGCAAGACTAGGACACGGCCTACCTCTTTCGTTGTGTGCTGTGGAGGACCCGTTCAGCTGGCCGTCTCTCACCATCCCTGCGGAACAGAACGGATGTCAGTGTCAGGCGTTTGGAACTCCCCATGGGAGCAGAGAGCCGGCTCCAAAGGGAGACGCGGATTTGAGCAAGGGGCTGACCCCAGGATGGTGTCACGGAGACACCAGCGCATGTTCGAAGACTGGGAGGTGGGCAGAAGCCCTGGGTTAGCCGGCAGGTCACTGGGTCAGATCCCAGGGAAGCAGAAAGGTCCCTGCGCGCTCAGAGGCAAGACATTTTACACGGTGAAGGGGGCGCTGCTGTCCTGCACCAGTTTCTGGTAAGAGTCAGGAATTCGAGCTGACTGAGAGGGTGCACAGCAGTCCCGTGGGCAAATTAAACTGAGTGGAAAAGTGACTCTCCTGCAGTGTAAATGCACTAGATCTGCACCATTCCTCCGGGGCCAGCAGCCCTGTGCTGACTGGTTATAGGAAAGATTCTGTTTCTCAATCACATGAACCACATTTCAAATATTCATCAGCCACCAAGGTTCTGTGGTTAGGCTGCTGAATGGTGACGAAAGGGTATGTTTTATTGCAGCAATGTCTACGGGTCAGCGCTGGGTGACCCTGGTACAGAAAAATATACTAAACAACAGCCTTATGGAAAGAAAGAAGCATCAGAACCGTACCGGCTAGGAAAAACAACTTACGTGACAGGCAAATAAAAAGAGTACCATAGGGGCTGGAGTGATAGCACAGCGGGTAGGGCGTTTGCCTTGCATGCGGCCGACCCAGGTTCGATTCCCAGCATCCCATATGGACCCCTGAGCACCGCCAGGAGTAATTCCTGAGTGTATGAGCCAGGAGTAACCCCTGTGCACCGCCAGGTGTGACCCCCCCCCAAAAGAGTACTATAGAGTAGCATTTTTCTCTTGAAAGTACCTAAGTGATAGTCATCGACCACTAAAATGTGCCACAAATATAATTTGGTTAATTATATTGTAAGTTCACGCCAAGGAAGTTACTGGCAAAAGGAAAGAGCGGGACTGGATGTATTACTCATTACAATAGTACTTAAAAGAGAAAAACAGTAAAAGAAAATTTGCCCAATCACATAGGGGAGTATCAGTAAATCTTAAGAGCCACACTGGAACAGAGTATTAAAAAATAGTGACTTTGGATACAGCCCAAGAGAAGGACCACATGGAGGGCGGGAACCACAGATCCCGGAGGGGGGGAAAAAAAATACAGGTTCCAAAAAGAGCCGAGATCACCGGGAAGTCCCAGATGGGGTAGGTACCGCATCCCGCCTCCCCCAGATGGAACCCCGGTGACCAGAAGCCTCTACAAGCACAGCTTGAGTATGCGGGAACTAGGACTTTTTCTTAAAACCGCGCGGCCACCCGACATCTCTCTATATACAAAGTGATCAATGGGAAGTAAACCACCCAACCTTTCTCCCTGAAAATCAGAGTTAAGTTTGGAGCACGGCCACAGCCCCAGAAACACAAGGACTTAATGCAGAACCCAGCAGCTTGGAGCAGAAAAGTGAAAGGACTATGTGTTAATCCAGGCCATCATGTCTGCCAGGAGGGGAAAGGGTGTTGCCCCATTCGCCCTCTCTTCTCTGGAAAGAAAGATGGTGGCCGCATGGGAGCCTTGTGGACAGCAGGTATGAGCCGGGGGTGTTGGGGGCGACTAAAACCTCATGGGAAGGGGAGCGTTCCGGTCTGTCCTTCACGCCCTACCGAGGTCACCAGTTGCCCCCCACGAGCGGCTCTCCAGCATGGCCACGGCCCCAGAAGCACAAGGACTTAATGCAGAACCCAGCAGCTTGGAGCAGAAAAGTGAATGGACTATGCGTTAATCCAGGCCATCATGTCTGCCCAGAGGGGAAAGGGTGTTGTCCCATTCGCCCTCTCTTCTCTGGAAAGAAAGATGGCGGCCGCATGGGAGCCTTGTGGACAGCAGGTATGAGCCGGGGGTATGGGGGCGACTAAAACCTCATAGGAAGGGGGGTGTTCCAGTCCGTCCTTCACGCCCTACCGAGGTCACCAGTTGCCCCCCACGAGCGGCTCTCCAGCACAGCCACGGCCCCAGAAGCACAAGGACTTAATGCAGAACCCAGCGGCTTGGAGCAGAAAAGTGAACGGACTATGCATTAATCCAGGCCATCAAGTCTGCCGGAGGGGAAAGGGTGTTGCCCCATTCGCCCTCTCCTCTCTGGAAAGAAAGATGGCGGCCGCATGGGAGCCTTGTGGACAGCAAGTTTGAGCCGGGGGTGTGGGGGCGACTAAAACCTCATGGGAAGGGGGGCGTTTCGGTCCGCCCTTCACGCCCTACCGAGGCCACCAGTTGCCCCCAACAAGCGGCTCTCCAGCACGGCCACGACTCTAGAACACAGAAACCAATTTCTTAACTATCTGACTTTCAGTAGAAATACTTCCAGGGTCAATAGGTAAAATAGCAGAAATCCAAAACCAACATTTAATTCTTGAACCCAGCTGTAGAAAGCAAATCACTTCACAATACTTTTTCAGCATGTCTGATTTGGGGGGGGAGGGTAAACTCTAAATAATAGTGGTGAATCTTTTATTGAAACAATGAATCTAATCAAAGCAGATAGAGTGTTAACTAGAATTCATCTGCCCCACAGGGACTGAGAGGGGTGGGGGGTGGGGTTTTATTGGGGTTCTTCATGGTAAAAAATAAGTATTGGTAAAGGAAAATGTGTTTGATATTTGCATGACTGAGACCTAAACCTGAAAGCTTTGTAACCTTTCCCACAGTGATTCAATAAATAAATTAAAAAATTAAAAAAAAAAGAAGTAATACCACGACCACTTACAAAAAAAAAAAAAGTGACTTTGAAGACTGTAGCCAGGTGGGAAAAAGTAGAATCCAGTACTGACTAGACAATAAACTTAGTTTACAACGAAGCAGCGGGGACATGTCACTCACTGGAAACATGCCAATTAGGGGCTTATATAATGGTCATGAACAGGATATAAAGCGAATACCAAGCACGACAGGCATCAAACACTGGAGAGACCAGCAAATAACAAACAACTCCTGCTATGAGAGAGAGAGAGACAGACAGACAGACAGACAGACACAGAGTGCACATCTATTTCAAAGGTCACATAGGCTCCTGCTGAAAGGGAGAGGGAGAGAGAGAGAGCGCACATCTCAAGTGCCACGGAGGCTCCTACTGAGAGCAAGTGAGAGGCAGCGAGAGAGAGAGAGAGAGAGAGAGAGAGAGAGAGAGAGAGAGAGAGAGAGAGCGCTAGTGCACATCTCTCTCAAAGGCCATATATGCTCCTGAGAGAGCAAGTGCAAGGGGGGTGGGGCGCTCAGAGGAGCATCTACCTCAAAGAACACACAGGCACACAGGAGGTAACTTTGGCTTATCTCGAAATCAAACAAATGCAACTGTTACTAACCTAAAACTGTTGTGTGGGCAACAGTTTCTATTCATCTTTGGACAAAGCCTACACAGCTACTAAAAAAATCTGTGCCACTCTTTGTGCATACTTCGTTTGCATCAAGGAGAGATCTGGCACAGAACTGCAATCCAGAGTGCTGCTAGGGCTGCCTACAACTTCAGCATCTTCCCTGGGTCGACCTCAGAACGTGGAGGGAAAGAAATGAAGGGCTGGGGATGTGACAGTGCATCTGTCCTGCATGGACGGGGCCTCCCGGTACGAGGCCCTTGGTTTGATCCCCAGCACTGCACAGCATGGCCAGACCCTGGGCATGTTTTACTAATGAACAGAGCGTGAGTCCCAATGTGTGCATGGAGCAGGATAAACAGCAGGAAACATGTTTCCCCAGAGGAGCTGACTTCATGGGACAAACGCACACACACGTCTTTCTAGGGGCTGAACAGTCTTCAGGGTTCTGCCTTCGGGGATGGTGACTTGTTTTTACAAGGAATCAACTCATCAAAGCAAAGTCACAGGGAGGAAGAGCTGGTGGGATTGCTCATCAGAACAGAATTCCACGGAAGCAATTCGATTCAGAGAAGAACCCTGAGGATGATAATTAGATGTAAGGAAAGTTCTTGATACGTTAGATCTGCCTCTAATGGGCCTCCTGAGATGCATTCAAGCTGACAATAAAACTTCATAATAAAGCGGCACTTCCCTTTCTTTGGGGGTGGGGGCGGGCTGTCTTCCCAGCTCAGCCCAGCAGTGCTGGTGGCCTAGGTGGTGCTGGGGATTAAATTTGGGGCCCTGTGAATGCAAAGCATGTTCCAGCCTTGGACTGTGGCCACATTCCCTGCAGGGACACTTTCGGTAACATACTTAAGTAAAACAGCGAAGTTTCTTTGGCTCTGGGTAAGTGACTGAGAATTGGCCATACCCTGGGTGTAGGTTTTCAGGAAAGGTTTTCGGTTTAGTTTGGGGTCAAACCAGGCAACACTCACGACTTACTCCTGGCTCTGAGGTCAGGGACTGTAAGGGGTACTGGGGATCTAGCCTGGGTCCACGTGTAAGACAAGCACTTACCCGCTGTACTCTTTCTTCAGTCCCACTGAAAGGTTTTTACGTGCATTCATCAACCCAGCCAAGATCAAGGGGATTGGGAACGTGCCTGGAGCCACTAATAAACGGAACCGTTTATGTCGCTTGTGCTCTTTCTAAAACCTAGAAGGGGCTGGGATGTGGCTCAGTGGCAGAGTATTTGCTTCGCATGTGGGAGGTCCCAGGTTCGATACCTGGTACCACACAGTCACCCAAAGTACCACAGGGAGAATTCCTGAGCACTAAGCCAGGAGGAGCCCCTAAGCACAGCCATGTGTGCCCACCACCTCCTCAAAAAAAAAAAAAAAACACCACACACACACACACACACACACAACCCTACAGGTGAAATGTTGAGTGGCAACAGGAGGAAGTAAGGCAAGTCAACGGGCCAGATCCTCTGCAGGGACACGGAGAGACTGTGGGGCTGGGACAAGCTGAGCCACAACTCACAGACCTGTTTTCTACATGTTTTCTGCAGGCATACATTTTCTCCACAGGCAGAAAACACACTTTTCTTGGAAGGCTTCGCTGTATTTCCTCGGTAGTGCTCAAGTGGGTGTACTCACAGAATTCCATTAGCTGGGACATTTTAGGCTGCTTCCAGTATTTTGCCATTAGGCATGACACAATCACATTCATGCAAACGGGGACGTGGGCAACTGCCCAATTACCTTCTTAGGGGAAATGTCTGAGCTGTACTGGGTTTCTGGGCCATGGAATTTAAATCGCCGAACATATTCCAAATTCAGAAGTGCTTTACTAACTTTATCGTCCCACTGGCATCACATCAATCTATTTCTGTCCTCCGCGCCTTAGCCAAAAGCGAGCTATTCTGAAACCGAAGTGCTCTCACGGATAACTAGGAGAGGCTGACAGCTCTGCTGCCTGATGGTGCTGCTGAGCTGCAGGGCAACTGTGGCCACTTTCCTGCTACCCACCTGGCCCCGGTCTAAGCTGTGGACAGGCCGTGCCCTCCCTCCGGCATCTGGCAAAGATGCCCCCTGCTCTCATCCTGGGACCGAGCGGAGCTGTTACAGACACCCACAGAAGGCCGACGGCGCTGGCTCTCGGACCCGGGGCGGGAGGGACTTGGAACATCTCACCTGTTCTGCCCCGCGTGGAGATCTCACACGTCAGCCTCCTGAAATACTCGGGGAGATCAGCGTATTCGTTCCCGTAAGAGATGACCTTGATCCCTTTGTCCAGCATGTTTTCTCGCAGTTTCTTGAACTCATCGACATCTCCCCTCCGGACCAGCATGAAGTGCTCCAGGTCGGATTTGTGCTTGACCGCTTCCAGGAAAAGGGCTTGAAAAGTGGTGTCGTCCACAGTCCAACCGCAGCCCAAGAAGAGGAAGGACTTGTTTTCGTAGAGTTTCTGAATCTCTCTCTTGCAGGAAAAGAAACCATGAGTCAGGGACCCTGTGACGGCACGAGACACGCATGCCACTCCCGCGGCTGTCGGGCTGCAGGGCGCAGACAGTGGCAAGCGACTGACCACAGCTGAGAGGGCTCATCTTGCCTGCCCTGCCCTGACTGGCACGCTGCCGGTTCACCGCTCAGCCTATCTCCACGCTGACACTGGCCTACCCGAATCCTGTGGTTGGTTTTTCAGTTTGGTTGTGCCCAGGGGCCATGACCTAAGGCAATGAGCAGGTCTTCCATGAATCTTACTCTTTCTGTGGGCCTTTCTTAGCTCTTCTTTTTAAGGGGCTGCACCAGGCAGTGCTCAGTCCTGGCAATGGTCAGGGGATGAAATCTGGGTCAGCTGCATGCAAAGCCAGCACCCTACCCCACGGTACTGTGTCTCTGGCCCCTAGTGGCCTTTTGCCTCACGCACTGAACCATGAATTGCTGGATGATGACCCCATCGTATTTCACTCTTAGAATGTCACCCTGGAGTCTGTGTGTCCACACACACACACACACACACACACACACACACACACACACACACCACGTTAAGAGGTGACTATGACAAGGTCATTCCACTCCATGGAGGTGTACCTGGAGTCTGTGTGTCTACATACACACACACACACACACACACACACACACACACACACCACATTAAGAGGTGACTATGACAAGGTCATTCCACTCCATGGAGGTGTACCTGGAATCTGTGTGTCTACACACACACACACACACACACACACACACACACACACACACACACCACGTTAAGAGGTGACTATGACAAGGTCATTCCACTCCATGGAGGTGTACCTGGAGTCTGTGTGTCTACACACACACACACACACACACACACACACACACACACACACACTACGTTAAGAGGTGACTATGACAAGGTCATTCCACTCCATGGAGGTGTACCTGGAGTCTGTGTGTCTACACACACACACACACATACACCACACACGTTAAGAGGTGGCTGTGACAAGGTCATTCCACTCCATGGAGGTGTACCTGGAGTCTGTGTGTCTACACACACACACACACACACACCCACACGTTAAGAGATGGCTGTGACAAGGTCATTCCAGTCCATGGAGGTGTAGTCAGAACAAATGTCAGGTCAAGAAAAGGTGAGAACAGGTCCCTGGTACGTCTGACATTCCCACATTTCCTTGGTCTTCCTTTTCTGCCTCATGTGATGGTGCCACTAGCGGACGCTCTTCTCAGTGCTGGGGACCAGTCCGACGCTCCCCACCTACCACTGACAGGGTTCACTTCTGCAGCCTAAGTCCATGGATTCACAGCAAGCCTGTCCCTACTCACACAGTCTCCTCAGAAAGTGGGCGCCAGTAAAAGGCTAGTAAAAACCCTCAGTCCTGGCACACTAAAGGTTAACCCCACCCAACACAGAGGCTATGGTGCACTGATGCTGGGTGCAGCCTTCCGCTTGGGATCAAGGGGAGCACCGCCCAGGAGGCAGCGCCACTCACCATCACCTCTGTGTTTCTGAGCACGTTCTGGTAGCCGGCGGGGTGCAGGACGATGCCACTGGGATTGGTGTAGACGCCGTGGATGTGGAGCACGCTCAGCTTCCGCTTCTCCTGAGCCCACTCGAGGACCTGCGAGGCACAGACAGAGCTCAGCCGGGTGGGCAGGACCCCAGGCAGGCCTCTGAGGACGGGCTTCTCTCGCCTGTCCACTGCGTGGTGGCAGCATGAGAAGGCCCCGGTGGACACGACCTCAACGGCCAGCTTAGGCCCGACTACATAATGGGCGGCATTCACCCTGTTGGTTTCTCCTCGAAAACGGCCATCAAAATCAGACCTTGTCACCATTCACAGTCGGGAAGAGGGGTTTTGCCACCGGTGACCCAGATGCGGCAGCTCCGGTCAGTCTCAGGAACGAGCCCTGAGATGCCCGGCCCAGAACTCCGTGCTCTTGTGCAGTCCCATTTCACAGACAGCAGGCTTACATGTGATGACTTGCTCTAGCCTAGAGGGCCCGTAATAAACGTGACCATCTGATCCCACCCAGCCTTGGTCTGGCCACCGGTGACTGCGGCCGTGCATGGGGACCACAAAACCTTTCAGCTGCTTGGACGAGCTGCTGAGTCTGGCTCAAATGGTGGATTCACTCTCCCAGCCGCACCCCCCACCCCTCGCCACCTCCCCCGCAAAGGCTGTTGTAAGCACCAAGTTTCAGGGAAGTTCTTCGAGAGCAACTGGCAAGCAATGAAGGAATCACATTGCAGGTGCCTCTGAGTGTTCGAGAAGGCTACCAACCAAGGACCATCACTTCGAGACAGTTCCATTTTCCTGAGGAGAGGAGTGAGCACAGTGCGTTCTGGTGACGCTTGGCGGGGGGGAGCAGCATGGGGGACGGGGCCACGCTAGAATTCAGGCACTTCCGCCACTCTTGAGTCCCATTCCACACCTGAACATTTCAGTGTCGCCCTGACTGTGGGTTCCAAAACACCCAGTGAACCTCAAGACTGCAAGAAGCAAACAAGCAGGGAAACCCTCACTCTGATGGAGGCCAGAGGGATGACCTGGATGGACCTCTGGCTTCCGGCGTGATTCAGAGACGGCCTGGGAGCTGTTCCCATGGCGAGATCTCATTTTTAAGATCTCATTTGTTCGAGCGCTGAAATTTTGATCAATGTCCCAGGTGCTACCTTAGACATCAGATCAAGGGGGGCTGATGGCGGGAGCTGTTTGAAGGGAGTTCCTATCCCTGTGGGGTACAGGCCAGCAAACCAACTACCCGGGCTAGAAGTGGAAGGGACATGGAGGATGTGGGTGCCGTCCAGCGCTGTCCGACCCAGGGTGCCCGAGAAAGGCCCTGAGGCGGGGACCTGGGCTGGACAGGAGCAGGAGAAATGAGGGCTCTGGGGAGGGAGCGGGGCTGGACGTCATGTCCACCAGAGAACACCCGTCTTCCTGGCACCATCTCTCTCACTCTGATTCTTCTTTAAAAGCTGGCTCCGGGGCTGGAGCGAGAGCACAGCAGGTAGGGCGTTTGCCTTGCACGCGACCAACCCGGGTTCGATTCTCAGAATCCCATATGGTCCCCCAAGCACCGCCAGGAGTAATTCCTGAGTGCAGAGTCAGGAGCAACCCCTGAGCATCGCCGGGTGTGACCCCACAAAGCAAAATAAAAAAAAAAAAAGCTGGTTTCGCAGTCAGCCAAATTCCAAGAGCGTCAGGAGGGCTATAGCTCCGGCAGAGGGAGTACTGTATTGCTGTTGGTGCTGGGGATCAAACCCCGGGGCCTCACAAAGGCGGAGCCACCTTCCTGGCCCTGTGGAGGCAGTGATGTGACAGCGAATGCCAGTGGGCGAGTCACGCATCTATTCAAGCCACTCAGCTAAGAGGCCAGGGATGTCACTCAATGGATCACGCGCAGAATATGGGAGCCCCTATATTCAGTACCCAGCACCAAGTCAGGGTAGCCTCCAGAGCACTGGGTGTGGCCCCCGAACAAAACCCAAACTTTCTTTTGCTGGGCTCCACATCACACACAAAGGCAGGTTCCTGGAAAAACAAAGTGCAGGAGAAAAATTATAGGAGCCACAGGGTCAGGCAAAGGAAGACCTGGAGTGTGTCCACCCTGACATTTTGTTTCCTTTCTGCATTCCTTATACCTCTGACATCTTCTTAGGGCAATGAAAATCTTTCCCCTCTGGGTCTTGTCAACTGGCAACGGGCTAGTGTGGGTACAACCACAGAATTTCCTGCTGGTGCCAGATTTCAAATGACAAACTTGGGTGCCCTCCCTGATACAGCCTCGTTATCGCACTAGCTGACACAGATCAATGCCAACGACTCAATGACCTGGCAGCTGGCTCAGGTACGGGACGAGCTACAGGACAGGAGAGGGGTTCCCCTGAAACTTTCCACTGAAAACCGACCTTCCTCCAGCTAGCATGGGACACCAGAAAGTGGTTCTCAGACATTTCCAAAAGATGCCACGAAGACAACATCTGAGAGAACTTTAAACCTGGATTCTGTTCACCTGTTGGTATTAGGTGCCAAAGAGACCTAATTATTCAAATGAACTTTCTATAATTTCTAGTCTATAATTCTGCTTACACACACACACACACATACACACACACACACACACAGAGCAAGATCATCAAGACTCAAGTGATGAAACACTTTAAAGGTTGGTGCCGGGGGCTGCAGTGATAGCACAGAGGGTAGGGCGTTTGCCTTGCATGCGGCCAACCCAGGTTCAAATCCCAGCATTCCATATGGTCCCCTGAGCCCCGCCAGGAGTAATTCCTTACTGCAGAGCCAGGAGTTAACCCTGTGCATCGCCAGGTGTGACCCAAAAAGCAAAAATAAATAAATAATTAAAAAAAAAAAAGATCGGTGCCTCTGGGTTGAGGAGATGTTCCGAGGGCTAGAGTGTGGGCCCTGCACGCAGGAGGCCTGGGTTCTAACCCCAGCACTGCAAGGTCCCCCCGAGTACCTCCTTGCGGATTCCTCCACTCCCATCCCTCCTCCCCAAGATCCGCATCATTCACTGTGTATTAACGGTCGGTGAAACATAAACATCCTCTTGGGGATACGCGTCCTCCTTTCTACCAGCACACAAACACCAAGGAGAAGCAAAGGTGTGTCTGCTGCAGGCACAGTTCGCTCGCCTGGGGGGGGACTCCACTTGCCCTGTACCTTTTTCTCATCGGTAAGGTCAAGGGACTCCAGCTGTTTCCCCTGATCTGCCGCATACAGTTCCAGGAGATTATCAAAATTCGTAGTTAATACCAGGGCTCCATTTTCCATCAGGTGCAGAACTGACTGAAGCAGCTGTTTTCCAGAATCTTCCATCTTCGACTCCAAGTCATCAAATACTTCATATAAACAGTCCTTGAAAAACGTGGATCTGACGTTACTAGTGCGCTGGGGAGACAGTGAAGAGGAGGGAGAAAAAGTTAATCCTTCCTCGGCGTTTTGCGAGGGTCTTCATTGTCATGACACAGTGAATTTGTGATGAACACTTCGTACTTTAAATAAAGGTGAAATTACTCCTTAACTCATGGGGCTATAGTCAGGAAAAGGGGACAAAACATGCCAAGTGCTCAGGCACCATGCCAAGTCCTGGGTGAGTGTCAGGATGCCAAACTAAGCCTCCAAGTGGCATTTATCTTTTTTTGGCAGTGGGGCCACACCAGACCGTGCTCAGGGGCCACTCCTGCTTGGACCTGGGGGGACCATGTGGTGTTAGGATGGGGTCCAGGCCTCGCGCAGACCAAGTATGGACTCCAGCCCTCAGAGCCATCTCCCAGGGCCCTTAGAATTTTTACAGAATATGAAGGAAAGGGCTAAAAAGGAGATGTAAATACTGCCAGGGCTAAGGGAATCTGGAGGAGAAAGTGGGCACTAGTGGCTGGTGGGGGTCCAGGAAGAGAGAAAACTTCCTCTTCAACTGTCTGCCTAACAGCAAAAAGACAGAGAATGTGATTTAGCCAACTCTTCCAAACTCGAGGTGCTTATGGATTTAGGAAAAGCTACCTAACTACGACCTATGTCTGTTTTATCCCTGGATGATGCAACTGTTTCACTCATTTGCTCGTAAGAAAATTCAGCATATCATGAAGATTATGGAAAAAAAAATGACAATTCTGCTATTATCCATAATACGGAACACTATTCGCTTCTAAATGGATGCCTTTTTCTTAACACATGGTTCTTATTAATTATTACTTCCGTTGGTGCATTCTGAGCATATGCAAACGTCTCTGATGACTAATGGGGAGAGTGTAACAGCAGCCTCGGGTGGGAAGCTGGCTTTGTACCCTAAAAGGCAAAGTAGTTCCTGGAAACAGGAGGCATCTGAGATGAAGAAGTAACTATGGAATGTGCTGTAACAAATATCTGATCCCTATTCGGTTCTGGCAATACCTTGCCACTAGATAACATCAAGATGTATTCAGACAAGAATTAGCTCTACTTTTGAGAGAACAAAAGGGAATGCCACAGAGGCAGGGTGGGGTGGGGGTGGTGGGAGGGATACGGGGATCACTGGTGGTGGAGAATGGGCACTGGTGGAGGGATGGGTACTTGACCATTGTATGACTGAAACACAAACATGAAAGTCTGTCAGCCAGTTTGTAACTGTACCTCACGGTGATTCACTAATTAAAAAAAAATTAGTTCTACTTTTGTTTGCTTCGGTTTGGGGGCCACGCTCAGGGTTTACTCCCAGCTCTGTGTGTGTGTGGCGGGGGTGGGGTGGGGTGGGGGGAAGGGGGATCACTTCTGGAGGTGTTTGGGACAAAGTGCTACAGCCTGAACCCAGGCCTCCTGACCCCCAGCCAGCTGCGCTCTCTCCTCCTGCCCCCCAAATTAGGTCCTCAACTCCCAATACTTTCCTCTCCAAGCGCCGGACAGAATCCAGCTCCTTCTGTTCATCTTCACGGCAGTCCCTCTGCCTTCCTGGTTTCCTGTTTATCCCCGAGCACAGTGGGATACAGATCTGTTTCCATGGACCCACGGAAGCAGACTCAGGAGAAACCCCGTCCGTGCCAAACGCATTCCGAACTTTGCAAGCTTTCCATAACGCTGCCAAATCCTTCACACTCCCTCCCAGAGAGATGTTAGGGGTGGGAAAGTGAAGAGCAGAAAGCTGAATGGTGGGGGCTGCCCCTCTCCAGAATCTTCCCGTCCTGTCTCTCACTGTCCCCACAGAGCCCCCTGCACGGCTGCTCCCAGGGTGGGGGGACCCAGCTCCCTTCTCGAGCGCCAAGAATACAGTTAGCCCCCGGGTTGTGCGGCTAAAACACAGTGTTCACACACTCGCCTCACGGTGAAAGGGCACAAGTGTCCCTGTCCCCAGGCAGCAGCCCACAGGCTCCCGACGGCCAGCCTCGACACAGGAGCGGGGAGAGCCTCGGCGAGCACGCTCACTAGAGCCAACAGTCGCCTCCTCCTGGATGGCAGCCCCTTTCCTGGGGTCATCACTTTAAAAAACGTGATTTCCCGTGAATGTCTCTACCAAAGGCGTCACCCCTTGGCCTCTAGTCCTGCGACCCCCTTCCCAGGCGCCCTGCCTGCGTATCACAGGGCCAACAAATGACATGACGTCTGCTGGTGACACCCAGAGCCTGGGACGAGCCACACACACAGGGATGCTGGTTTCCAACTCCTGGTCACCAGGAAACACAATTCAGTAGAACCAGCAGCACAGATTAGAATGTCTGTGTACCACCTTTACACGGGGCAGTACGGTACGAGAGAGTCCTTCTGGGGTTGGCTACAAGAAGACTGGACAGAGTAATTGTGGCCAGTGGCCTCTGGGTGGCGGCGGCGGGGTCTGGGGTGAGACACTGTGATGTGTGTGAGCGAGCACCCACCCAGGAACATGGGAACAGGTTGAAGTAGACTCCAAACACGGTGCTCGTGAAGCACGTCTGTGTTGCTTCACTCTGCAATCCGACCCACACCCTCTCTGCCACCCCCGCTTAATCATTACACAGCCCAGAACCCCGGTGGGGAGGTAGGAAAGTGCTTGGCGGGGAGCTCCCTCTCTCGGGCGCATCAGCAGAGGCAGGAAAGAGGCTTCGGCCGCACACCCAGCAGATGACCCGAGAATTAAGATCCCCACCAGTGGGCCATCTCGGTGAAGACAGAGAACTGAAAACAAACGGAGACCCCAGGGTTGAAAGGAAAAGCAGACCCTGGCCCCGAGTCTGGGTGCTCCCTCCTCCACGGCGAGGCAGGGTCCACTCCACCTCACTTCCTTCTGCCCCACGCCCCTCATCCTCAGCCCACACAGAGTAAACCGAAACCCTGAGTCTTCTTGCCAGCATTACCGTTCCTCTCACTGGGCCTCCCCAGGGCCCACCCTCCACGCGAGAGCCCAAGGGCGGGGCGCAGGTTCCACCTGAGCTGCTGGGACCACCAGGGCCACACCTGGCAGTATGTGGGGGCCACGTGGTGCCAGGTAAACGCAGATCCCCTGATTGCTATTGGCCCAACCTGGCGCGGCTGCTAACGCTGACAGTATTTCTACTACACGCCGGACACCGTCCAGGAGCTTGTTCCATCTCTCCCTGACCCCACCCCAACAGGCGTACACCATAACCCCTGCACCTCTCCCCTGCCCCTTGAAGTCTATTCTGAAACTCGCACTGACGGGGCAGAAGCAGGGGCACGGCAACTGCCAGGGTCCCAGTGTGAATGCACGAGGACCTCAGGGGTCCATGAGAGCCCCTCAAGTACCCAAGCCCAACAGTAGGCCCTGATGTCACTTCTGATTCAGAAGGCTCTTACTTGGGAGTGGGGGTGAGGGGGCTTGGAACACACCCAGCAGTGCTCAGGGGCTACTCCTGGCTCAGTGCTCAGGGGTCACATCTGGTGGGGCTCGGGGGACCACACATAGTGCTAGGGATTCAACTGAGCTCAGCCGCAAGCAAGAAAAGCACCTTAACCCTGTGTTATCTCTTTGGCCCTCAGAGTGTTGTTCTTAATGAAATAGCAAAAGCGACAGTGAATCTTGAATCTTGATCCTTGAGTACATGCTCTTGCCCCTATGTGGCGCTAGGGAGTGACCCCGGGGCAAAGTAGGAGCTCCGTCCCTGGCCCCAAGTTCGTGTCCTTTCAATACTCTGTGTGAAGAGAGAGAACAGGAGCTTCTAGCATGTCTGCAGACATTGGAGTCTGAGGGCTATCCTGAGGCCAATTGCTCAATGCATGTCTAAGCTATAAACTGAACTAGCCACTTTTCACCAAACTTCATTTCTACCCGAAAAACTGAAATGACTAATAGACACCCCCAGTTATTTAGAGGTGAGTATTCTGTAGGTGTTTTGCAAAAATAAACGGAGCCCATGAGTTCCAAGGAAACAAGTGATAGTTTGTGGTCACGCTGCCAATGATGAAAATCAGAGCTTTCAAACACGGATCAGAATTTTAGAAAACTTTCCTTTGCCAGAGAAGCTTCGCAGCTTCCACGCCCCTTGGCGGCTTCTCCCTGATGACACTGGAGGTCCTCACAATGGACACAGTTCTGGTCTGTGCAGTGAAATGTGTCAACACTGGAGAAATACTCAGTGACTCTTGATTCCCCAGACCAACACATGACCCTGTGAGGATTTCTTTTCCTGTGCAATCACTCGGGTCCTCTCAGTGCAAGACGGATCAGCGGACTTTCCTCCCTGCTATCCAGTATTCTCACTCTGCTTACTGTCTTCTATTAGTACTTGAGTTTTTTACCCCTTATTTAAATTGTTACCAAAATTTAAAAAAAATTCTTTTTTGTTTCGAAACAATGACTAGATCTACAGTTGTTTCTTTTTGGATTTGAGGCACACCTGGCGGTGCTCATGGACAAGCCCAGCTCAGTGCTCAGGAGACTGCATGGTGCTGGGGATGGAACCAGGGCCTCCCTCCCTCATGTGGAGTTTGTACTCTCCAGCCTGCCTTTATTACCTTTGTTTTCAATAAAACTTTACTGAGGTGTAATTCGCATAACTTACAGCTCATTAAGTGGGGTGAACACATCAGTGATCGAGGTGTGTGCAACCCGAACCACGATCACTGTCTGAACCCCGTCCCCTCTAACCACCATCCTCCTGCCCACCCGCTCTCCCCTACTCGGCCTGGGGCGGACACATATTGTTCTATGGCACACTGTTGTGAAACATCCAGCACAGGCAAGCCTACAGAGGCAGGAAGTAGGTTAACAGTGGCCCAGGGCACACAGCCTGCTGCTTCACAGGTCTGCTCGCGTTGCCGAGTCGAATTCCTTCCTGGTGAGCAGTACAGAAGCATGGCCCCTCGTGTTGATCCACTGGACAGACACGGCTCACGGCTGCTGGCTGTTATGAATTAAGCGCCATCCGTGCGTTTCCAAGGGGCTGTAGGCAGCGATCGGACCCGCCAGGTCACCAGGCAGCTTCCCACAATGACCACGCCACGCCACAGCCACTGTGACGAAGGGCCCCACGTGTCTACCCTTCACCCTATGACCCCGTGGGTCGACTGGGACTCTTCACCCTGTGATCCAGCGGCACCTCACGTGCCCAGAGTGCATCTTCCTGAGGACTGATGCTATCTACCCAGCAGCAGCCACAGGCTCGGCGGCCAGGAACTGTCCTTGGAGAGACATCCACGCCAACCTCTGCCACTTCACCCAGAAGGTATCTGCCCTTTTACCATGGACGCGGATGGTCCTTTAGTCTGGAAATGACAAGCTGATTGGCCATCGCGATCACAGCAACACCTCCTGGGGACTCTTCCCTGGCAGAGGCCCGTGTTTTGAGTCCAAGGGCTCAGAACCAGGTGCTGCTGCTCCTTTTCCCTGTTGCTGCTGAGCTTCTGGTGTCATTTTTCAAAACCCCCAGCACCCTTTACCCGTATGTCTCCTTCTGAGACTTTTAGAGTTTCAAGTTTAGCTGCTTGAACCCAGGGCCTCACAGACATGTGGAGCTGACCTCCAGCACTGAGCCGCATCCCTGGCCCAGAGCCCTTTCTTTGATGCTCAATCCTTTAGAGTTAATTTTTAAATATGATGGAAGGCATTATTTCTTCGTTAAATTTTTGGTGGTGCATACACCAATCTTGACTGGACACAATCCTTACTATTCAGAGATGCATTTTCTTTTCCGGTTTTTGGGCCACACCCAGCTGTGCTCAGGGCTTACTCCTGGTGGGATTTCGGGGACTGTTGGGGGTGCTGGGGATCAAACCCAGATCAGCCACTACAAGCTGCCCTACCTGCTGTATCTCTCCAGCCCCTGCATCCTGATGTTAGATAAAAGTTTTAGATAATTAAATTAAGGAGTCTCTTCATCCAGGAATTAGAGTCTCAACTTGGGGGGAGGATAGGGTGGGAGTACACTCTACAAGAGAGAAACGGTGTGGGAAAGTGGATACTCCCACCATATACACGACAGCCCACCAGCGCACGAGATTTTGAAAAATCATGGTCTGGGCTGGAGAAATAGTACAGTGGGTAGGGAGTTTGCCTGGCACACAGCTGAGCCACGTTCAATCCCTGGCATCCCATCACGATCACGATCACGACCATCCTGTTGTTTGTCGATTGCCTCGAGCAGGCCCCAGTGACGTCTCCTTCGTCCTAGCCCTGAGATTTTTTTAAAAGCACCATATTAAAGGCTCTTTCAGGGTTAGGAGAATGAGACCCATCATTGTTACTGGTATTTGGCATATTGGGTACACCACGGGGAGTCTGCCAGACTCTGCCGTGTGGGCAGGTTACATTCGGGAGCCTGCCAGTTTGTTCAAAGTAAGAATGAGATAATAAAATGTCGCGCGGCTGCAAATGCGGCTGCGTGCTTCCAGGAGCTGGGTTTTATAGTCTCTGGGTCTTGGCCATTGATAGGATTACACGGCGCCAGGGGGCCAGTTGGTGGGTGTTACCCCTGCCTACTGGAATATGGAGGATCTGGCACCCCATATGGTCCCCTAAGTACAATCAGTCCTCTGAGGGAGGAGCCAGGATAATTTGGGAGGGTGGGGGTGATAGGTGGGAGGCTCTGACCATGCCCGGGGGACCAGGCAGTGCACGGATGGAACCTGGGGCTCTGTCATGCCAAGCCTGTGCCCCAGACCTCTGAGCCATCTTCCCTGCCCTAAATATCATGATACTTTATTGCTCAAAGTATTTTTTAAAAAAATGAGTTAAAATGTAGATTCTATTACTTTTTTTTTTCGGGGGGGGGGTTCACACCCAGCAATGCACAGGGGTTACTCCTGGCTCTGCACTCAGGAATTACTTCTGGTGGTGCTCGGGGGACCATATGGGATGCTGGGAATCGAACCCCGGTTCGGCCTCGTGCAAGGCAAACAAACGCCCTACCCACTGTGCTATTGCTCCAGCCCCAAGATTCTATTACTCTTATTTTAAACATGTGAATAATGACTAAGGTATAATATCACTGGTGTTACAGACAAAAATAGTAGCAGCCACTTGCATCTTCTCTGAAGGACAGGTCTTACACTATCTTCACTCTGTCTTAGACTATTTCTTAGGACATTTCTTTGCACTTTTACTGGATTTAACAGACAAATTTATACTTTCTTCACAATCTACAAATATCTCTGAGGGAACTAAACATAACAAAAAAAAAAAACGGAAACCAATTTTATTTGATAAATGACAAACTTCCTTATAAATATGTCAAGTGATTTACTTTTTATTTATTTATTTATTTATGGCTTTTTTTGGGTCACACCCGGAGATGCCCAGAGGTTACTCCTGGCTCTGCACTCAGGAGTTACTCCTGGCGGTGCTCAGGGGACCATAGGGGATGCTGGGAATCGAACCTGGGTCAGCCGTGTGCAAGGCAAACACCCTTCCCGCTATGCTATCGCTCCAGCCCGTGATTTACTTTTTAAAGGAATATTAACAAGGGCTGGAGTGATAATACAGCCGGTAAGGCGTTTGCCTTGCACCTGGCCAACCTGGGTCCAATCCCCAGAGTCCCCTATGGTCCCCTGAGCACATCCAGGAGTAATTCCTGAGTGCAGAGCCAGGAGTAACTGCTGAGCACCACCTCAAAAACAAAATCAAACAAACCGGGGGAGGGGGGGGAAGAACGCCCTAAAAACCTCCCACCCAAAACCGCTAAAAAAATAAAAGGAGTATTAACAACTGGCTGTGGTGGGGCTGGAGATAGCACAGCAGCTAAGGACCTGACTTTGCACGACTGATGTCCAATCCCCAGCACTCCACATGGTTTCCTGAGCTGGGCCAGGAGCGATTCCGGAGCGCAGAGCCAGCCATAAACCCTGAGCACGGCTGGGTGTGGCTCCAAAGAAAAAAAATTAAAAAAAAAAATAAAAGCTGTTTGCGCTCTCATCCCAAAGAGGGTAAGAGCTCGTCAGTGGTGCTGTACCTGAGGGTCCCTGTAAGGCACGAAGGGCAGAAGCAGGAGCAACAGCGCAGTGAGACATATAAAATGGGACGAAGATCCAGCATTACCATCATCGGCGTACACACAGACACACACACACACACACACACACACACAGAGGAACGGGTCATCCCAAACAGGGGCCATGCTCAGACCTTTGCAAATCTCCTGGCTAAAATGAATCTCCCAGAGCCAAAGTGATAAGACAGCGGTCACGGTCACGGCGTTTGCCTTGCACTGCGGCTGAGCAATGCGGCTGATCCGGGTTCAGTCTCTTGGCACCCCATATGGCCCCAGAGCCCAGGCGGGAGTGATGTCTGATACTGGTGTAATGAATGGGGCTGAGATCTGAGGTCGGGTAAACCATACACATGAAATTTGATCATGGTTGATTGTAAAGTTGGGCGCTATGAATAACTTTGTAAATTACAGTACCTCAACAAAAAAAATATTAAAAAATAAATAAATAAATAAAATGAATCTCCCCGCGACATGCAGCAGACGCCAAGGTTCTAGAGATTCTGCGTCCCCTAGCGCAGGGGAGGGTACTCACAGGGGAGAGCTTCTGGATAAGGTCATGGGCGACGTGGACAAGGTTCTTGTCTTCATGGAGACACTTCTGAAACTTTTTGCTCTCCTCATCTTCTAGAAGGTCAAAGTCGATGGCCGCGTCCAGCAAGGCCTGGATCAGGCCCTTCCAGGACTTCAGGGCTGGGACCTGGGGCGCGACGGCGGCACTGATGCCTGTTCCGATCACCAGCACGAGCTCCCGGGGCTTCTTGGTCTTCAGGCTTGGGAGCAGCTTCCTGCAAAAGTCAAAGCAGAGGGCCTGGAGCGCCCAAGAGAATCGAGAGTCCTGGGAGGACGATCTAAAAACGGTTTCCAGCTCAAGCTTTCACACTTGCCGAGAACCAGCAGCTCCTCACAACCTCTGGGCAGGGGCTGGAGTGACCGCACAGTGGGCAGGGAGTCTGCCTTGCCCGCAAACCAGGCTGGGATCCCCTGCGCCCCTATGGTTCCCGGAGTCGTTCTCCAGGAGCGATTCCCAGGAATCACTTGCAGAGCTAGGATCTGTAAGCCCTGAGCACTGCCGGGTGTGGCCCCGAACCCGAAGGCACAACAACAAAAGCCCAGAGCAAAACCAAAAAACTTGGCCGCGGCATACGGGAACAAAACTAAGGCAAACAAACAAGCAAGAGCAGCACACTGAGCTAGGGCCCGCTGAAAAATGAAGCAGCAAGGCTATTGCCGGAACCCTGAAAAGCAATCTTGAACCATTTTCTCCTTCGTAGTGCTCTCAGCCGAAAAAAGCCCATTAGGATTAGGAAAAGGCTCAATTAGATCACATTTCAGCTGAGTCCTGCTAACTAAATTGTCTTTTAAGCCAACATGAACTTTCTGAGGCATATGTTTGATTTGGATTCCAGAGAGGAATGATCCCATGCAAATTAAATTCTGGTTGCTGAGAAATGTGCAAGAGGATAGGAAAGAAAGCCAATGCAATTTTAAGCCTCAATTCTAGTGAACATTGTTAAGACAAAACTGAGCGAGACTAAAATTGAACAAGAGAAAGTCAAATATGGGAGCCAATTTGCCTTGGGTTTTGTTCTGGATATCTTTTAAGCACCACCACCCCCACCCCCCCCCCCCACCAAAAAAAAAAAGTGACCAAAAGAATTTTGAAAGGCAGGGACCTCAGACTGCTAAATGACTATTCAGATAAAGGATGTTGACAAAACAGCGAGAGACATTCCTGTCTCACCACAGTAGGACAGAGCCCTCCCCTGCAGATTCTATGTGAGACAACATGGGTGCGGGCTTTTGTGCTGACATGTGACAAATCTGAACTGCCACCCTTCATGAGAGAGAGAGAGAGAGAGAGGGAGGAAGGGAGGGGGAGAGAGACAGACAGACAAGAACAGGGTCAGTTTTTGTTCAAAACAATAACCAAAAAAAAGGACCCGTGCTGAGCCCTGGCACCTGTGTGGGCAACAGCCTTTCCAGTGCAGTCTCCTGAAGGCATCCTTTGACAGTCAGGAAGACCTCGGGGAGCCCAGGCCCAGGGGAGGCTGCATCTGTGGAGAAACAGGCCCCCAACGGCCTAAGTTTATAGGAAAGTCAGGGCCTGGGGTTCAGAGCAAACGCTAAGAGAAGTCTTGGCTTAAGGGACTCCGTGAGGCCCACGCGGACCCTGACAGGAATGTGGACGGCAGGAGATTTTTCCTGCTCACTCGACGGAGCTGGACAGTTCATTTGTGGACAATGGATGTGTGGCTTTTCCTACTTTCTGGCTTCGAGGTAGACAGGGATAGAGTTCCACGGCCCGGTTTCATGCCCGGCAGGAAGGGGTCCACTGCGGGAGCCCACGGCCACTCTGGGCGCCGCTCGCTGTGGGCCCCGACACGGGAGCAGACAGAGGCTCACGGGACACGTGAGAAAAGCCCCCGCATGATGGTCACAATAAACTAACAGGAGGGAGACAGAATAAGCAAGGACACTGGCATTTATAGGGGACAGAGAGAACAATACAGTGGGTAGGCACTGGCCTTGCAGGTGGCTGATCCGGGTTCAATCCTCAGCACCCCAGATGGCCCCCCAAACACTGTCAGGAGTGATCCCTGTGAGCAGAGGAGAAGCCTCGCCACGCCCCGATGGCACTTACGAGAGCCAGGGAGAGGGTCCCAGGGTTAGAGTGAATGCCAGCCTACACCTGAGGCCCCAGGTACAATTGCTGCCAGCACAGAGGCTCCCAGACTGTCACTACTGCCCTCCCAGTAAGGGCAATAGTGGCGGTTTCCACAGAAGACAGAAACCAGGGACAATGGGGTCGGAACCCAGAGTTCAGTGTATGGGGTCCAGCCCTGGTGGTCCTACTCCCAAAGAACTGACATCTATGAATCCTGACTAGAACAGAGAAGGGTAGGCTTAGAAAAAGAGGACTGGGGTTAACAAAGAATTTACGAGTTAGGAAGGTAAAATGGAGAGCATCTCGGAGAGAGCAGAATTTACAAAAACAAAAGCAGCATGAGAAAATGAAAGGTCCAACACCTGAACACCAAACAAGAATTCTACAAAGACAGATTGGAGGAAAGGCTGCGAGAGAAATTACTACGGAAGGGAAGAAGGCCAACGGCACCAAAGAGAAACCCAGCGGCGAGCCCGGGAGCACCACCCGCCTCAGGAGGGGGACCGCCTGGTTCCCGGAAGTGACATGATAACCCTGTCCAGCTGCCAGTAAGGGCAACAGTGACAGTTTCTACAGAAGACAGGAACCAGGGACAATGGGGCCGGAACCCGGAGGCCAGCCAGCAGAGATTATTCGCAACGACTTCTCACCCTAAGGAAGATGATTTCCGACGGACACTTTGTACACTTGTCACACCACCGAGACACATCTAACTCTAACAGCATAAAGTCATTTTCAAATGAAAAGGAAAACGTTTTCTCCTCTGGATCCTTACTAGGAGGGCTCCATGAGAGTATTTTCCAAAGGAGAAGACACCCGTTCCCAGGAAGAGGGGGCCCACCTCGCAAGGCAAGCTTGGGAGACAGGGCGGGAACCAGCACAGCTGCTGGCCTGCGAGTGACCAGAGGAAGACTTTATTTATTTACTTGCTTTTTGGATCACACCCAGCAATGCTCAGGGGTTACTCCTGGCTCTGCACTCAGGAATTACTCCTAGTGGTGCTTGGGGGACCATATGGGATGCTGGGAATCGAACCCGGGTCGGCCGTGTGCAAGGCAAGCGCCCTACCCGCTGTGCTATCGCTCCAGGCCCGGAAGAAATGATTTAAACGGGCGACTTTCGCTGTGTCAGCAGGTCTACAAGTCTCTCTCTGCTGCCACAGAGGCAGGCTGGACGCTCGGAGAGGGAAAGGGCCGACAGTGACACCAGCCGGGTGATCAGGCTCCAGGACAGACACCATTCCGTCAGTCAAGAAAGAAAAACACGGGAAGCTGACTGAACCCAACAGTGGCATCCGGCACAGTGTGAGACTTCGGGGGTCTGTGTGGGCGTGGGCGAGGGGCTGCAATCCGGGCAGCGTCCCGCAGCACAAGCCCACCCCTCATCTTCCTCTTTCGGAAAGAGACAAAGCAAGGCCCCAAGAAACAGCAGGACAAAGCAGGGCTCCAAAATCTGAAACAGGGGAAGCAGGAGCTGAGTTCAACTTGGTCATCCTGGCAGTGAGGCCCGAGGGGTCTTGACGGTCTGACCAAAAATCCTGTGGCTTCAGGACCTGGGTGAGGAAACCAACACCCAAGCCGACCCTTTGCCAATGGTCAACATCGGTGGCAGTGACCAGGAGCCTGGGGGGCATGGCTATTCCCCTCCTGCCCGCTGACAGCCGTGCACTCGTTCCTGCGGACGCCCCCCCTTACCTGGGCTTTTTGGTGGGGGGTGCGCCATCACTGAAGAATCCAAAGAGCGAGTCTATGTCAGAGGCCTGGCTCCCTGTAGAAGCCATTCAGTTTCTGGAAGAGATCAAACACGGCGAGCCATGGTTAGAGCCGGGACACATGCTGGTTCCAACGGGCTGGCGAACTGAGGGCGCTCTAGAGTGGTCCCCTGTCACCAGAGATGTGCTCCTGACCCAAACCTAAGGGCCCCGGGCAAAGAGGAAGGCAGCTGGAGAGGAGGCTTTGTGCTTCTGTTTCTAGAAGCTTCCCACCCCCCAGGCCCCGGCACCAATGTCAAACGGCGTCCATACGGGCACTGATTCTGGGCCACCCATTCCCGGGGCCTAGAAATAACCTGCTTTCCCACAAGACCTGCTCGGGGCACATTTTTGGTTTTATGTTTTTGTTTTTGGGTCACAGCTGGTGATGTTCAAGGACTACTCTGGCTCTGCACTCAGCATTCACTCCTTGCAGCGCCTGTGGGACCATATGGGGTGCCGGGGATGGACCCCGGGTTGGCCGCTGCAGGACAGGGACCTTATCCACTGTACTATCGCTTCAGCCCCTTGGGAGCAGATATATGGGCGTTAAGACAAGCCACAGGTAAGTGTGCTGATAATGCCCAATTATGCATTTACTATTAAGCTCCTAAGACGGATCAATGCCCTCGTGGGAGCTGTGGCTGGACAGGTATCCTGACAGGGAGGCGGAGTGGCCCTGAGATCCGGTGATAAATGGGGCAGGTGTCACTTAGTAGAGAGGGAGGACAAATGACCAGTTATGTCCACATGATGGGGCCACCAGCAAAAGGGACAGGGGCCTGGACAGAGTGAGGAAACAGCAGTGAGTCTGACCGCTCACGTATTTAGTGAACTTGTTAAGGACGGTTAATTCTAAACTAGCAACACAAGGTTAGTGTACGTACACACTCAAACCCCCCACAGAAGACAGTATGTGCTCCCAGCTTCACGGGTATCTGATGTTCTATCGCCGATATTCAGAAAGAATTGGATTACTAATAATTATTCGCAGTTTAGATATTTTTGAGGATTTTTTTTTCTTCACTTAAATGTTTCTACAAGCTTGCTGGTTTAATTTTCTGGAGAAACATGCAGAGTTCCCCCCCCCCCCCCATATTCCACGCCACTGACTGGGAGTCCTGGTTGGAATCCCAGGCACTAGGGAAGATCCCCCTCAGAGTGAATTACAGCCATGGAGCAGACGGTCTTGCCAATCAAATCTTTATTCCAGACCTGTTGGCGAGAAAGTTGGAGCTCAGAGAAAATAAAGCACTTAGTAAATCTTCCCTAAATGTCATAATCACCTGAGCCCTGTGCAAGGTCTCTGTTCTTCGAGACAGAGTCTGTAAATTAAAAGGCAGTATATGTTCCCTTGCCCTCATTCCAAATTAATGAGTCAACTCTCTACTATCTTCAGGGGCTTCTTAGATGAGGCAAAGCAACAGCATCTCCATCACATACAGTTTTCTACAATCCAAGCTCTGCTACATGGTGGCACGTTCTCAGCCTGCTAGGTGCCACCGTCCTTCCCTGTTGGGCGATGCATCTGACAGCTGCCCAGTGCACTAGCATCAGAGTGTGAAGCTGAGTGCCAGAGAATATTGTCATGGAGATCCTTGAGCTTACGTCAAGTCCCTCGTGACTGAGCCTCCACTCTACAAGGGAGAAGCGGTGTGGAAAAGTGGATACTCCCACCACACACACAACAGCCCACCAGCATGCGAGATTTCGAAAAATCATGGTCCTGGGCTGGAGAAATATTACAGTGGGCAGGACACTTGCCTTGCATGTAGCCAATCCCGTTAGATCCCTGCACCACTAGAATAATCCCTGAGCACAGAGCCAGGAGTGAGCCCAGCCAGGTGTGGCCCCCTCAAACAAAAATCATGGTCCTAAAAATATCAACTGAATAAATGATATTTGGGGGGTGGGAGAGGCTTTGAAGTGGTGCTCAGGGGGCCTGGGGGCCACTCCCAGCATTTCTCAACCAACTGGGCCAGAGTTCAATGCGACGGCCCGAGAGTGTGGTGCTACATGGGCCCTGGGTTTAGTAACCTAGCTACTAAACCAGAGCTTTAGTTAATGGACTCATTTAACTTTAACTCCTTAACAAGTGTACCACATCCAGAAACCATTTATAAACACTGACAAAAAGTGCTATCATCACTCTATTTCAATAATAAAAACTGCAGCACAGAAGGGCCAGAATTCAAACCACGGTGGCCCGTCTCCCGCGCCCTGCGCCCGTGCTCTTGATTCACCAATACTTCCCTAAAGTCTGCCTAGGACTCGCTTCTTGGGCTGGTTTCAGTTCGTGTACTTTCACAGAGGCTGCGCCTCATGATGCAGTGCCGCTGGGTCCTGCTGACCTCGGGCCTCACACATTGAAGGAAGGTGGGCCACCGCTCGAGCTGCCATCCCGGCCCCTTTTTATTCTGAAAACTGGGGACTTGGGTCACCCCAGGGGAATTCCAGGTCAAACCACAGTTGGCTGGCTACACGCAAGGCTAGGGCCTTAACCTCCTCAACCTCGAAAAACAACAACTCACAGACGAGAAGTGAGAAAAGGAAGCTCGTATGAGTCAGGAAGCAGGTTATCTGGAAGCAACGCTGGTGTGGGGTTTGGCCACTGCTGCTCACGTCGGTGCTCGGTGGGCAATCGTGGGAGCCGACGCAAAGCAGCCGCAATGGAACCAATAACTGCCGGCCTGCCTCTCTGCCCCGCCCCGGAACCCTCAGAACCCCAGACCACTTGGACCGTTTTCTGCCAGAAAAATCATCGAGGTCATTTTTGCTGGATTCCATTTCGGCCAATGCATGCGCTCTGAATTTTCTGCCTTTTTTCCCCTTACAGAGCCAACGGTTCTGCAGGGCGGCGGCAGCTCGGACAATTTCAGGGAATTCAATGCGGCTAGCAGCTCCGCCGGGGCCAAGCGGAGTAACGGGGCACGGCCGCGTCACCCGGAGCAGACACTCCTCCTCTGGTCTCTGCTTCAGTCTGATGGATGCGCCAGGGGCTACGACCTCACGGGCTCACCGCCGTGGCATCAAAGCACCAACCACACTTTGTTCTTTCCAGAGTCACGCTCATAAAAGACCCATTTTCGCCTTCACCCACAACAAAATGCAGTTAGTGGTTTTTTCGTTTGTTTGTTTTAATTGATCGAGGTTCTGCAATTTACAATGCTGTCTATGCAGTTAGTGTTAAAGCGCTTCCAAGCTAACCGGGGGAGTGGCGAGCATGCAAGACCAGCTCCTGGGGTCGGGGTCGCTCCTCTAGGGACCTCGGCTTGAGGGCGCGGGTTAGTGAGACCGGCTATGTACAGCGGGTTCAAAGTGCTCTTCTGCCACAAGAAAACAGAGGCGGTTACCTGGGCAGTGTCTTCATTGCTCCACTTACAGCTAAGCCAGTGAGAAATCCTTCAAGGCCAAGAGAGTTGAGCAAAATAAAATTCAGACATTGGTAAACGCTGAGAAAAGGAACAGGAACCTCATTACCACGACATGGTCAGACTCGAGTCTTCAGAAATGAGGTAAGATGCTACCCCTGTGAAACCTGTCCCCAGACTGGAACTCACCAGAATGCTGCTGATAGACAAGGAAGGGGGAGGAAAAAAAAAATCAAGGCACATCTTCTAGGAAAGGTCCGTGAAGGAACACAGGAGGGGGTGAGCCAAGGCGCAGGTGCTGTGGGAGTGCCCAGCTCGGAGCTCCCAGGTCTCGCCTTCCTGCAAAGACCAGCCCGGCTCCCGCCACGCGGAACCGAGTCACACCCCCCAATTCCTTCCTCAAGCTCATTCCTAGCTCAAACAATCCACAAGCCCCAGGGAACTCAGAATGACACGCCTCGGCACACAGGAGGAGAAAAGTTCACAGGATGACTTTTTTTCCTTTTGGCCTGGAAATCAAAGCTCTCAACCAACGAGGAGCCTGAGAAAGCGACGCCATTCCCACTTCCAAGAGCAGCTGGCCCGGCTGCAGGCTGCTCCGGCCTTCCCCTGCCTCCACTATTATTATCATCATCATCATCATCATTATTATTAAAGCAGGGACTGGAATGAAGACTAAACACAAAAAAGGATTCATTCCATTTTGTTCAGGGGAAAAGATAGTTGTCCTTCAACTTGGAAGAAAGCAGCCTGTCCCCCCCGCCAGTGTGGATTCTGGGTGAAATCCAAGACATCTGGGTTGCAGAGCGCCATGGGGCTGGAGGAGGAAAGGCCGGTCCCGAGTCGGCCCGGGAAGTGTTTCCCGAGCAAAACGGATTCATCGGGCAGGCCCTGCTGGATGCCGCTCTCAAATGGAGGCTGTGGCCTCCGTCTCCAGAGCAGAAAGGGTTTCCAACTCTTCCTCCCCACCGCACTGGAAGGAGGGGGCCCCCCAGCCTGGCAGGTGTGTGTGTGTGGGGAGGGGCATCCAGCAGTACCAGTGTCCGACACCTCTGTGCACCCCAGCCCGAGGGGGTTTCCTTAATCCTCTTTCAGGTAAGATCTCCCATGTCACCTGCAGTCACGGATAAAACACCAGAATGATTCCACTCACTCTTGGCCCTGCGCTGGGCTGCTGGGAGCCTTTACAGATTAAGGCTCTCCGAGCTGGGGTCCCCGACACTAGACCCCCACACCCCGGGGTCCAGGCCCACGAGCTCAGAGGCAGCCCCTGTCAGTTATTGTAGACGATAAAGCCAAAGTGACCACAACGTGCAGGCGACAATGGAACACCCCATGAAAACCAGACAAGAAGGGGAAGGCGGTGATGGAAACTGATTTTTACCGTGCCAAGAATGAGAAATTCCTTCTCTGTCGCCGCTTTCCCTCCTGTGAAGCTTCTGAGAAGGTCTGTCCTGCAAACAACAACACATGTTGCTAAGGAATGAGAGTCCAAAACCAGTTCAAACACGGCCACAGTTTATGAACCAGAGACTTTCAAGACGATGACACGGGACGTGTTCAGGAAGAGGGAAGCCACACCGATCCCCCAGAGGAAGATTTTATGTTCAAGTCCTCAAAGATGAAGTCTCCCCTTGAGATGGAGACCATCACACTTGGGAGCACCCTCAGCTCCTGCTTCTCGCGCCAACGAAGGACAAGCCACATGCGGGCAAAGGCGGGTTCACCCAAGCCCGTGCGACCCCAGAGTCACCAACATGGCTGGGGGTGGGGGGAGGCATGTCAAGGGCTCTCCTTGAGGAGACAAGATTTAAAAGAATGCAGACTTCGGCAGGTGTGGGGAGCGTTTGGGCCACAGTGCTCCTCCTGGCTCTGTGCTCAGGGTCCATCCCTGGAAGGGCTCAAGGGAGCATACATGATGCTGGGAATGGAACCCAGGTCTGCAGCGTGCAAGACCTACCACACATATCACTGCTCCGGCAGCCAGCCAGGGATGCAGCCATCCTACGCCCAGTGAGAATAGAACCGCTCAATGGCCCACGTATCCTTTCTTTCTTCTTTTTTTTGCTTTTTGGGTCACACCCAGCGATGCACAGGGGTTACTCCTGGCTCATGCAATCAGGAATTACTCCTGGCGGTGCTCAGGGGACCATATGGGATGCTGGGAATCGAACCCGGGTCAGGCCACGTGCAAGGCAAACGCCCTACCCGCTGTGCTATCACTCCAGCCCTCCCACGTATCCTTTCTTCTTCCCCTTTTTTACTTTCTTCAGAATTTCTGACTTCAACAGAACTAAGATGGATGGAAAATGCTTTAAAACGTGCATCCTGGAAAAATGTTCTGCTCAGAAGTCCCAGCTGCAGTTGAAGGTTAATGTTATGACATGAACTTGCTGTCAACGTCAGGTGAAACATCTCAGGAGACCCCACACTGTGGGCGGCCACGCGATCCACGCCACCCCATTGACACCGAAGCCAAGGCAATGCTGGGAACTGGACCCAGGATTTCAGAGACAAGACAAGTGTTCTACCCTTACGCCACCTCCCTGAGCCCTGTAAAACACTTCTTTCTTTCTTTCTTTTTTTTTTATTATTAGTGAAACACCATGAGGTACAGTTGTAGATTTACAAATTTTTGTGCTTGGATTTCGGTCATACCATGATCAAATACCCATCCCTCCACCAGTGCCCATTTTCCACCACCAGGATAATATCCCTCCCCCCCATTCCCCCATCCCCCCCTGCCACTGTGGCAGGGCATTCCCTTTTGTTCTCTCTCTCCTTTTGGGAAAACACTTCTTTCTTGTTTTGTTTTTTGGGCGGGACCACACCACGCTGTGCCCAGGGGTCCTCCTAGTGGTGCTCAAGGGACCATATGTGGTTCCAGGGACCGAACTGGGGTCACTGCATGCAGAGAAAGCACCTTTATCTCCGGTACTATCTCTCCGCCCCCAAACAACTATTATTCAAATTAACCACAAGGATGGGGCTGGAGCGAAAGCACAGCGGGCAGGGCGTTTGCCTTGCACGTGGCCGACCCAGGTTCAATTCCCAGCATCCCATATGGTCCCCCAAGCACCGCCAGGAGTCATTCCTGAGTGCATGAGCCAGGAGTAACCTCTGTGCATCACTGGGTGTGACCCAAAAAGAAAAAAGAAAAATAATAAAGTTATCCAAAAGGAAAAGAACAGGTTCTGCAACGATACAATAAACAAAACAAACTGCTGTGGCCAGTTAACTTCTGACTTCTGAGTTATGTCTGAGCACAGACTCTCACGCAGACATAATAAAGAACTGAAGAGACGCTCCACTCAGATCACTGAATTATGCTTCGGACTCAAAAGTCACCAGAACACCCAATAAAGAGGGGTTCAGGAATGAGCCTGCTTTGAGTGCATTCGGTTTCCTTTCAACACTCGGCAGCTATTAAGAGTCCATCCTGGATGCTGACTTGCCATCATGGTGGCAATGCTACAGGCGCAGCACTTTCCCCGTGGAGAAAAGAGGATGCCCTCTTTTCTGACTAAATTTGGGGGTGATTCAGATGCAGCCCTATCTAGAAGAACTGGGGTACGGAGAAGCCGAGAGCATGCTTCCAAGGCCCTTCTGCGGGACCAGCATACAAACTGGAACCAGTTTCTTCCCACTGTGAAAAGAAAACAGGATGTTCCGCCGCAGAGAGCTGGAGACCCACATCCCAGAGTATCCTCTTCAGCGATCAGGCCTCAGCGAAACCAGAGCAAAAATGGGGGTGGGGAGGGAGAGAGGAGGGGAGGAGAGAGGAGGGGGGGGAGAGAGAGGATGGGAGGGAGGGAAGGGAAAGAAAGAGGGAGGGAGGGAGGGAGGGAAGGGAAAGAGGGAGGGAGGGAGAGGGAGGAAAAGGGAGAGAAAGAAGAAAGGAAGGTGAGGGAGAGAGAGACAGGGAGGAGGAGGAGAGGGAGGGAGGGAGGGAGGGAGGGAGGGAGAGAGAAAGAGAGAGAGATCAAAAATAAAACCAGTGTCACAGATACAGAGACACCGAGTCTGGTTCTGCATAAAGAGGACCGAGCCTCGGAATCACAGACAAAACTCAATCCATCAGTGTCCTGCAACAGATAATATGGGGCCAAACAAGGCACGGCTGCATAGCACACCACTTTGGCAATATCCTGATTGAGATTTAATGGACAGGGTGCCTGCTTGAAGACCGGAAGCCTAAGCAACACTCAGAAAACTGCACCGAGTCAAAGGACCAAGCGGCAAATACAGGGTCCAAAGGGATGAGTCTGTGCTGCAGCCTCTGGTCCCAGTGCAGTCACCCGCACGGTGCATGGTCCCAGTAGCGCTGAGCTTGGGGATCCCAACCCATAAACACAACTGCTGCACCACACAACTGAAGTGTGGGACCCCCACCCCCACCCCAACAGGCACCACAACCCAGACATGGCTCAAGCATGGCAGCCAGCCTGTGTAACCCCCCCCCCCACCCCCCCACCGTCCCTTGCACCGAGTTGTGACAATTACAATAACGATGAAGGGGGTTAAAAATTAAAGACAAAAAAAAAATCAGCAGACTCAAGAATCAGAGCTACTGAGCTTGAAAGAAATAAGAGAGTGGGGCATGCAGCCACCACACCGTAACAGCCCAGCTGCACGGCTCACGAAGAACCTGAGGAGAGGCCAAGCCAATGAAACTCACAGGTACACAGGGTTTTGGCTGAAAACGCTGGGGCCTCCGTGGGAAGGGGCGGGCCGAGAATCACCCCAGATCCACAGATCCTGGAGCTCGGCCATATACAAGGATGCATGACACCTCCAAAATCCACAATTCTGAGTGGAGTTCATGCCCAATTCAATCAGCTAATCCGTGGCCGAATAAATAGCAGTACTCCTACATTAAAAAAAAAAAAATCCACGATTCTGAGAGCCCAGTAGGAGCACAGCAAATCAGATGGGAGAGTCGCATCGAAGCCAGCTCAGCTTGATAAGCAAAAACGAGCAACACAGAAGGCTCAACTAGCAAGGAAGAGCCCAGTAAGTCCTCAGACAAGTCTTTAGTGAGCCTGCCGTGCGATTTTAGAATTTTCACAAACTTCCTTTCACTGAACTATTTTTTGTAATTCCACTTACCATTCTGTTGTAACAAGCAATGTACAAATAAATGATTCTGTGGCTGCCGAAGGAGCAGTCCTGGGGTGAGGGGTGGGAAACGGGACAACAGCGAAAGGCAGGTCACACTGGTGGTGGGATTGGGGCTGTAACAGTCAATGCTCGCGATAACTCTATAATCAACAACTTTGTAAGCTACGGTATTAAATAAAGTTTTTTTAAGCAAAGAAATCAGGAAGGTAATCCAGATTAGTTTTACAGGGCGATTTCCCCAACTAAAGGCTTATCTGATGCCTTTTCTACTAAACAGAAAGTCTTTTGTCTTTAAGCTGGGAGTGGATTTTTCCAATTTTACTAAATGTTGGGTCTCAGAAGCATGGTTTTCCTAGCCAAGAAAAAGGACATCTTGCTTTCTTCGTTTCGCTGGCCTGTGAACTGAATTGAAGAAACTTCTGTGTTAGGATCTTGGAATCGCTTCAAGCTGAGACATGAGTCTTCTATTCACAGATGACCATCTGGACGGAATTTCCGGGCCTGGGATTTACTTGCTTGGACTTATGACCTTAAAAAACTGACCGGAGACCCCTTTCCTAGAGAGTCAAGGCTCTCACTCCCCCCTCCAGACACACTGGCCCCTTGGGCGTCGCCCCCACTCCCCGTGTGCCCTGCTCTGCACGGGCTTCCGGTTTTCCCTCCACCTGGCTCCCCCCTCAGTGCTGCCCTGGTCTCTGGGCTGGTCAGTGAGGCTGCCAGACCCGCCGAAACCGCACAGGGGTTCAGAGCACATGGTCACGGGTTCAAAGCCCAGCTGTGTGCATGTGCCAAAAGTGAGCCTGCAATCTGGCCTCACCCCCAGTGGAACAGATGTGCAGGTCCCACAGCCAGCCCCGGAGCCCGTGCATCTCCACACGTGCATGTGACCCCCAGCAAGTCTGGGCCCTGGCAACAGCAGCAAAGGGTTGTCAGGGACCGGGGTCGGAACAGAAACAAGACACTGCTGTCCTGATGGCAGTGATATGGCTCGGACCGCTCTCCAGCGCCGGGCCACACGCTCTCTACTTAGTATCCACGCAGCAAACACGCCGGTGGGCTGCCTCCCCCCACTAGAAGGGGAGCTCTTCCCCCCTGCGGGTCACTGGACCCTGAGGTATCCCAAGATCCAGATCCGGCACGCAGGTCTTTATGGAAGGAACAACTAACTCAAGTGCAAGACCAATTTAGTGAGCCTCGGAGGCTGCACCCCCAGCGAAGGGGAATCCCCATCACTACTGTTGGCGTTGGGAGGCGGACAAAAAGCCCTTTTGTTGTGGAGGAGGAACCCAGGGAGCGGCAGGTTGGCGTGAGGAGTGATCTCGCAGGCCAAGCC